CACACACAACAAAACAAGATATAAAAGTATATGAAAAATATGTCCCAATCAGTTAAAAAGATGTATAAAAGACCAGAAGGGCCCTGGCCAGTGTAGCTCTCTGTCCAATGCACCGAGTAATCAATCACCTGTTAGATACACAGTCAGGCCTCATGTCTGGGTTTTGGATTTGATCCCCAGCAGGCATCGTACAAGAGGCAGTGGATAAATGTTTCTCTTTCACTGATATTTCTCTCTCTCCCTCTCTCTCATACTTCCTCTCAAAAATAATTAATAATTAATTAAATTTAAAAGATGAGAAGGAAGTTCATGAAAATGTTCGTGAAAATTGATGGTGAGATTATTAAAAGCATAATATTAGGTTGAATTGCATGTCATTATTATTTTTGTAAGACGACTTCAGACAGTTCAGCCTTATACATTGATGAAAAGAGCCCAGGGCAAACGTGGATTTGAATCCCCGCTGGAATATGTGTCATTTGGTTTGCATCATGTCAGATGGGTCACTTTGGACGCATTTACTAAAAGTCTCTCTCAGAGTCTCAGTTGCCTCATCTGTAAAATGGGCATAAAAATAGTCTGTACTTTAGGGTTGTATTTAAGATTAAATGGAATAATGTATGTAAGCGACCTGACATACAGCAGTCCCTGAATAAAGGTGGCCATCACTGTGGGCAGTGTTTAATTATGTGTGTGTCTTTTTAAATTCGGAAACTATCAGACAAAAGTATTTAAACTTTCAAAGGGGTTGTGGTCTGTTCCCTAGGGATCTTGAGCCTGGTCCAGGGCTGGGAATGTGACTGAAGGCTTTCCTCCAGCCCTGTCTCAGCTGGGCTCCTTTTCAGACAGAAGCGGGTGATCCTGGGAGCAGGGCTGGATGTTTGTCCTCTGAGGGATCCTGGGAACTTCATTAGAGAGGACACTCTGTCCCAGGGCCGGCTGCCCCCTCACCCCAGCAGCTGCTGCGTGCAGAGCCCAAGGAGCCAGACTGCCTCTGTCCACCTCTCCCCTCAGGCCCTGGCCCCCGTCCCAGCCACAACAGCCTTTGACCCAGTGCTCAGGGCTCTTCTCTCAGGAGCAGCTTCTGGTTCCTGAACACAGGGCTGAGCTCAGCTTTTTTTTTTTTTTTTTTTTTTTTTTAATTGATTGATTTTTAGAGGAAGAGAGAGAAACATCAGTTTGTTGTTCCACTTATTTATGCATTCACTGGCTGTTTCTTGTATGTGGCTGACTGGGGGCTTAACCCACAGCCTTGGCATGTTGGAATGATGCTCTAACCATCTCAGCTACCCAGGGAGGGCGGAACTCAGCTTTGATCATGTCCTCAGAAGTAGGTTACAGAGTTTCTCTTTGTGGTGATAAAAGAAAGTTTCGGACCTGGCTGGCGTGGCTCAGTGGTTGAGCGTTGACCTATGAACTAGGAAGTCACCGTTCAATTCCTGGTCAGGGCACATGCCTGAGTTGTGAGCTTGATACTCAGTGTAGGGCATGCAGGAGGCAGCTGATCAATGATTCTCTCTCATTATTGACGTTTCTCTCTCCCTTCCTCTCTGAAATCAATTATATATTAAATGTTTTGGAAATAGTGGTGATGGTTGCACAAAATTGTGAATGTAATTAATGCCACTGGATTGTACACTTGAAAGTGGCCAATTTTATGTTATAGAAATTTTACCAAAATACTTTTTTAAATGAAAAAAAAAAAAAAAAAAGCTAGCCGAAACCGGTTTGGCTCAGTGGTAGAGCATCGGTTTGCGGACTGAAGGGTCCCAGGTTTGATTCCGGTCAAGGGCATGTACGTTGGTTGCGGGCACATCCTCGGTGGGGGTGTGTGCAGGAGGCAGCTGGTCGATGTTTCTCTCTCATCGATGTTTCTAGCTCTCTATCTCTCTCCCTTCCTCTCTGTGAAAAATCAATAAAATATATTTAAAAAAAAAAAAAGAAGAAAAAGAAAAAAAGCCAGTTCTGCCTGGGTGCCTGACATACCAAGGTTGGAGGTTCAATTCCTGGTCAAAGCACATATAAGAGACAACCAATGAATGCATAAATAAGTGGAAAAACAAATTGATGTTTCTCTCTCTCAATTAAAAAAAATAAAAAAATCAATTTAAAAAATAAAAGAAATAATACCCTAAAACAATAAATGCAGGAATGGGAGGGCTGAAGGGAGAGCAGGTTGTGGGGTTTTGGGACATAACCTGGAGCAGACTGAGGCCACATTAGGAGTTCAGGATGTAGGTCCCTGGTCCATCCCTTATTTGGCTCTCTGATGTCAGCAATTTAACTCCTCTGAGGACAACATGCTGTTCTCACACAGCTGGCTGTCCCGGAACTTGTTTTTTTTAAAATATATTTTATTGATTTTTTACAGAGAGGAAGGGAGAGAGATAGAGAGTTAGAAACACCGATGAGAGAGTCATCGATCAGCTGCCTCTTGCACACCCCCTACTGGGGATATGCCTGCAACCAAGGTACATGCCCTTGACCGGAATCGAACCCGGGACCTTTCAGTCCCCAAGCCGACGCTCTATCCATTGAGCCAAACCGGTTTCGGCTGTCCTGTAACTTGTTATTGAATGGTGTGAAACTCTGCCCTAGCCGGTTTGGCTCAGTGGATAGAGCATCAGCCTGCGGACTGAAGGGTCCCAGGTTCCAATTTGGTCAAGGGCACATGTCTGGGTTGCAGGCTTGATCCCCATAGGAGGCATGCAGGAGGCAGCTGACCAATGATTCCCTCTCATTATTGATGTCTCTCTCTCTCTCCCTCTCCCTTCCTCTCTGAAATCAATAGAAATATAAAAAAATAATAATAAAACTAAATGGTGTGGAACTCTGTAAAACATGGAATAAGAAAGAAGGAAAGAAGGAAACCTAACAGTAGTACCTTCTCCCTGCTTTCCTCTGAGGATGCCTGAAACCCCACTGTAAGGCTTGGAACTAAGGATTGGAAAAGGGGAAACGAACGGGACCTCTCCATCTCTGGCTCCTCAGCGGGAAGGAGATGCTCCATTTCCTCAGGGGATGGCATCCAGGGAGGAGGCTGGGAGACTCAAGGTCCAAGAAGAGAGCAGTGCGCAAACCCTGGAGCGCTATGCAGCAGTTTGCTCTGGTGTTTGGTAGCTGAAAAGTGTTGTCCTCAGCCTGCCCCCTACACCCCTCCTCCCCTAATCCTCATACCTTAGAATGCCTTTTCCAGCTTTCTCCTGGGAGGTTTATTTCTGTCCCCTTTTTCACCCCAAGCAGCGGAAATGAATCATCTGTTGGGTAAACAGCCCCCTGCCCTCTCGCTCTCTGCTTCCTCTGGAGCTGCTCCTGGGCCAGACACTCACCCCCAGACCCTCTGTCAAGACCTTCCTTTCCCAGGGCCTGGAGCTTGACTCCCCCCACCCTGGGGAGGATGAGAAAAGACACCAGCATTCCAGATGGCGATCCCACGAGCTGGCCAGAGGGGCAGGAGGGCAGGGAAGCCACCGTGTTCTGAGGGCTTTGTGAGCTGTGCACGGGCATATCTTGATGACCCTGTGAAGCAGATCTTGCCATCCTCATTTTACAGGGTTGGGGTCCGAGGCTCAGAAAAGTGAAGGCACTTGCCCAAGGCCACACAGCGAGTGAGTGATGGAGCCAAGACTCAAAAGCCCGGATTCCTGCCGTTAACCCGATGGGCATGTGGACGCATGTGTGTTGAATTGCGGATGAAGGAAGTCAGCTACGACATCGGTTGCTAAGTCACATGTGTACGACAGGTGGGTATTTACCTACAGGGGAGATGGCACATGTGTGCGGTATGTGTCTTACCAGACAGAAGCCCGCGATGATGTCAAAGAGTGACAGGAGCCCTGACCAGTTTGGCTCAATGGATAGAGCGTTGGCCTGCGGACTGAAAGGTCCCGGGTTCAATTCCAGTCAAGGGCACATACCTTGGTTGCTGGCACATCCCCAGTAGGAGGTGTGCAGGAGGCAGCTGGTTGATGTTTCTCTCTCATTGATGTTTCTAACTCTCTATCACTCTCTCTTTAAAAAATCAATAAAATATATTTTTAAAAAAGAGTGACAGGAATGTGGGAGGGGAACAGGGATTCATAAAAAGGCCACATTCAAGGCCACCTAGGCCCTGCTCACACCTCACAAATACAGCTGTTCAGAGGGCCCTTGACAAGCAGCTCAGTTAATGGGATCCTCGTCCAGATGTGCAGGGTGGTGGCTTTGATCCTGAGCCAGGGTAAGTGTGGGAGGCAAGCCATTGGTGTTTCTCTTCTCTCTCTCTCCCTCCCCCACCCTCCTATCTCTCTCTCAATCATTAAAAACACACACTGTACTTCAGGGGGTCCACGCTGGTGAAACCACACTTCCTGGGGAACTGTCATGCAAGCATTTAGTGGGCTTCTAAAAATATGCAGGTACTATTTCCAGGAGCTGTGTGGGATGCAGAAATACAACTACTGACAGCAGACGGAGGGAGGAGGGGCGGACATAAATGTGTGAGTCACTGATTGCCAGGCAGACGGAAGGTGCTGGGGCCCAAAGGGATGGACACTTTAGGAGGACCCCAGCCGGAGGGAGGGGTTCCTCGAGGCCGGCAATCAAGGAGGGCTCCCTGAGGAGGTGGCACTGGACCGGCTCTGAAGCTCTCGGCAGATGCCTAGTCTGCATCAGCAGAAAGCTTTCACAGAAGTCAGATCCTGTCTGACTGCCCAAGGAGCCTGGGACGGCATTGCCGTTATTTCCCCTCTACAGAGGGGGAGACGGAGGCCCAGGGGTGGAATCGGTGGGCCTCGCTGGCAGGTGGCGGCCAGGACTGGGTCCGGAGCCTGTGGGACTTGGGCTCCCTCCTCGGCCGGTCCCGGAGCCCAGACGCCGCGCCCCGGGCGGGCGGAGCGGACGGCGGGGAGGCGGGGCCAGCGGCGCGGGCCGGTCCCTCTCCACCTGCCCCGCGAGCGCACTGGCCATGCTGGGCCGCGGGTCCGAGGGCTGAGCCCACCCGCCCGCCCGCCGGGCCGGCCATGGGCGACCGCGAGCGCAACAAGAAGCGGCTGCTGGAGCTGCTGCGGGCGGCGGGCACCGGCAACGCGCGCTGCGCCGACTGCGGGGCCGCGGGTAAGGGCGCGGCTGGGGGACCCCAAGCCCCGATCCCGGACCCGGGGGCCGGACCCGTCCTCCCGGCCAGACACCCACCTCCCCGGCCCCCGGCCCCTGAGGCCACTTCCATACGCTCCTCCGTCCAGGGCATCCCGCACCCGAGGGGCCCCAGCTCGCCCCGGCGCCCCGGACCCTGCAAAGCCCCCTCCCCAGACGCCCCGGCTTCCCGCCTTCCTGCTCCGGAACTGCGGAGGTGGCCCCGAGGGAAGTGTCCGATCCCTGCAGGAGGTCATGGCTCCCCCCCCTGCGGCTCCCCTGCCGGCCCCCCGACGGCGCTTACTCTCGGTTCCCTCTGGGCTCCTGGCGTCCCGCGCCGCAGCCTCCCGCCCCGATTCCCAGAGCTCCTTCCACGGCCTTTCTCTGCCAAGGTCTTACCGCACCAGCTTCCATCTGGCATTCTGAGTTCACCCCAGGTGGGGGCCCGGGAGAGAAGGCTCCCCCAGCGCGGGCATCGCCCCAGGAGTCCAGCGCTGCCTGCGGGTCGGGGGGAAGAAGCCCTGGTTTCCTCGCCCGGTTCTCCACCGGCCCGGCCTCCGCCCTCTCTCCCCGCAGATCCCGACTGGGCCTCCTACAAGCTGGGCGTCTTCATCTGCCTGCACTGCTCCGGCGTCCACCGCAACTTCCCCGACATCAGCAGAGTCAAGTCCGTGAGGCTGGACTTCTGGGAGGACGGCCTCGTGGAGGTGCCAGGGGCGCGTGGGCTGGGGGCCCCCGTTTTACAGGGAAGGACCCGAAGGCCCAGAGAGAGGCCATCACTGGGCCCAGACAGAGGCCCCGAGGTCAGGTCCTAGCTTCCTCAATTGTTTGTTTTGGAAACACCAGGTTTTTGTTTTGTTTTTGTTATTTATTTATTTATTTATTTATTTATTATTAAAAATATATATATATTTTATTGATTTTTTACAGAGAGGAAGGGAGAGAGATAGAGAGCTAGAAACGTCTATGAGAGAGTAACATCAACCAGCCGCCTCTTGCACACCCCCTATTAGGGATGTGCCTGCAACCCAATGTACAGGCCCTTGACCGGAATCGAACCTGGGACTTTTCAGTCCGCAGACGGATGCTCTACTACTGAACCAAACCGGTTTCGGCTGTTTTTGTTTTTTAAATATATTTTATTGATTTTTTACAGAGAGGAAGAAAGAGGGATAGAGAGTTAGAAACATCGATGAGGGAGAATTATCGGTCAGCTGCCTCCTGCACACCTCCTATTGGGGATGTGCCCGCAACCAAGGTACATGCCCTTGACCGGAATCGAACCCGGGACCTTTCAGTCCACAGGCCGACGCTCTATCCACTGAGACAAACAGGTTTTGGCAAGCTCAGGGTTTTTTAACCCTCGTTGTGGACCCTCAGTTTTCATATCTGTGTTAGGGGGACATCACCCCCCCCCCCCTCCCACCTTCACAGGGCTGCTGTAAGGATTAAGTGCAGGCTCAGTGCAGGTACAGAGTACCAGTCAGGAACAGTGACTGCTCTCATTAGCTGAAGTCCTGGCCTGGAACGGAAGCAAGCACCCTGGTTCCAGAATCCTGAGCCTTTTCTCTCCTTCCAGTCCCCTCACCAGGAAGGGGACTACTTGGCTCCGTTGACCTGTGGTGAGGGAGGACACCTCAGCCCCGAGGAAAATACCAATTTGGCCAGGACACCTTCTGAGGGCAGGCAGTCCTCTCCGGTGCTGGTTGGCCGGGGATTTCCAGGACTGTCGGGGGAGCAGGCACATCCTCTCTGAGTGTCCGCTGTATGCCAGGCACTGTGCCAGGCCTCTGGGCTAGATGCTTTATTTATTCACTCAACACCTAGCTACGGGATGTCTGCCATGTGCTGGGGCAGGAGGCTCCATCTGTCCACATGGAGCTTACATTCTAGTGTCAGGAAGCCCGCACGCAACCCAGCACCGAAACCCAAAGGTTATTTGTTTGCACCTTATGTCCCCCTTCCTTCCCCCATTATATTTCCTCCAGCTTGGCAGGTGCCATCCCTGAAGCTCACGGGTTAAGTACTGCCTGAGGGTCCCTTCGTGAATGGGTGGCACAGCTGGGATGTGAGCCCTGCTCTGCCAAGGTCCAAAGGCCATGGAAATCCCGTGATACAGCTCAGAGGGGAAAGAATAGGGTTCCCCTATTAAAAACCTGATGTTTCTCCCCACACCGTCCTCACCCCGGCTATGCCACTGCTGTTGCCGAGTGCTGACTCTTGGCCCATGTGTCCCTGGGTCTCTCAGGTGTCAAAGGGCCCCAGTGATGACCCTGACCTAGAACTCCATGGGGTCAGCACTGACTTCTGCCTCCCAGCTGCCTGTACTGCCTGCAGGCTTGGGGGAATTGTTGCGGGGGGTCCTGGCCAGCTGTGGAGGGGTAGGAGGGAGAACAGGAGCTTTGGGAGTTAGACAAGCCTGGGCTCAAATCCCAGCTCTCCACTTACTAGCTGTGTTACCTTGGGTAAATCGCCTAACCTCTCTGAGTCTCTATAATGGGGATGGTAATATTAAAATGGTTAAGGGGATCAAGTGAACCAGTGTGTGGGAACTGGGGTGCACTCTGCCTCTGTGAGGCTTCGTTGTTCCGGCACCACATTGCTCCGGCCTTTCTAGCAAACGCTGGTATTTCATTTTTTGGTTCATTCTGACGGGGCCGTGCCAAATTCCCCTAGGACTGTCTCCTGACTCAGCGGGGGAGCCAGGGAGAACAGGGGCCTTCCGGGTACACCAGGGTTTCATTTCACATTTTGCAAGTTCTAATATTGCCGCCACGTTGCTGTTGTTTTGCAGTTTATGACCCACAACGGGAACCTCCGTGCGAAGGCCAAGTACGAAGCCCGAGTCCCTGCTTTCTACTACATCCCTCAGGCCAGCGACTGCCTGTGAGTGCGGCCGTTCCTGTCCCACACCCACCTCCGGGTCTTTGCCTGGGGGGGTCTCGTCCATGGACCTGGGCAGCAGGTGGATCCAGGGAAGGGCTTGGTACTGTTCAGGAGAACACACAAAATCTAGTTTAAGTCCTCTCTACCTTTATTGCGTGGGTGGTCATTTCCTCCCTCTGGGACTCAGCTTCCATCCCTGTGAAAGGGGCATTTTCTTTAGTATCTGCCCCATTTGCCTCTGATGTTCTCACAGGTGGTGGCTAACTTAATAGAAGAGAAACACTGGTATTCTATTTTATTTTTCTGTTAATCCTCACCTGAGGATATTTTTCTTCCCCATTGACGTTTAGAGAGAGAGTGGAAGGGAGGGGGAGAGACAGAAGCATTGATGTGGAGAGACACATCGATTGGTTACATCCTGCATGTGCCCTGACCAGGGCAGGGGATGAAGCTTGCAACCGAGGTACGTGCCCTTGACTGGATTCGAACCCAGGACCCCCTGAGCCAAACCAGATAGGTCGAAACACTGGTATTTTGATAGAACAAATGCATTTCAATTACTTTCTATGGAGTGCTTATGCTTAGGACTATCCCAAAGCAGCCGCCGGGGCCCCAGGTCCCTAAATATTAACCATTAAAAGAAGAGTAGCTGCTAGTATTGATTGAGCTTTATCATATACCAGACCCCGTGCTAAATAATTATGTGCATTCATTTGTTGAATTCTCTCAACAACCCCATGAGATAAACACTGTTATCACCCCCATGATGTAAACAAAAACCTGGAGGCTTGTAGAGGCAAAGCTGGGACTAGCCTATCTGATACGAGGGTCTGGGTGACTGAACCACGACATTGAGAAAATCCAATCCAATGAGGGTGAGGGGCGGTCGGGGAGTATCTGTGAAGCAGTAGGAGGGTTCAGTTGACCTGGAGGTGAGGGCCTGTGTGACACTAATACCTAGTGACCCCAGACCTCTGCAGACTGACTGCCTGAGCCTATACCTCTCTCCCAGGGACCCAACCCTGCAGCAATGGGTGTGCCTGTCCCTCTGAGCACACACAGCCTCACGGAGACATGGCTGCATTTCAGCTACATCGTCCTCTAGCCTGACAGCAGGATGCTTTAGGTCAAGGCACAAACTACACAACCATCCCGGGGTCCTGCGATTTTCCAGTGGCTGGGGAGGCACAGCTGTGGACTCGGGAGACTTCAGTTCTGTTTCCGAGTCTACCATGACCCGGCCATGAGAAGGTGGACAAGTAACCAAACGTCTCTGACTCGGGGCACCCTCACCTCTGAGATCTGGACAATGATGCCTGCAATCAGAGCATCGTGGTGGATTAAATGAGGTACTTTATGTAAACATCTCATAGGCCACCTGAAATGCTCGTTTGTTTGTTTTTTTAATATAGTTTTATTGATTTAAAAGAGGAAGGGAGAGAGAATCATTGATTGGCTGCCTCTTGCACACCCCACCCTGGGGATTGAACTGGCAACCCTGGCAAACGCCCTGACAGTGAATCGAACCATGACCTCCTGGTTCACAGGTCGACACTCAACCACGTAGCCATCTCACGCCGGCTAGTTTTAATCCATTTCTTAGTGTCAGCTTCAGAATGCTGCCTAGTGCCTGGCCCCGCAGAGTCAGCCTGAGGGCCTGATCATCTTGCCTCATCTCTGCCACTCAGCCCTTGGCTCCAAGGGGAAGGAGAAGAGCAGTGGGTGAGCACCTACTATGTGCTAGGCCTTCTGCCCGCACTACACAGACACTACTTGTCATGACTCCAACAGCAGGCCTGTGCTTTAACCCTCTTTAGCTGAATACTAATGGCCTCTTCCCTCCTGTCCCCAAAGTCCTCTAAACTCCCCACTTCCAGCACCAGCACTGGGGCCTCAGTCCCCCTCGTCTCTCCCAGCTCTGATCCTGTGGCTCAGGGTTCTCCCATATCCTGGGTGAGGATTGTGCAGTAGGTAGGATTCTTTGTTGTTGTTGTCGTTATATGAACTTTAATTGAAATAGTTCCCTTTGTAGTTCTTAACTGGCTAGACATTCCATGGCACCTCTGTTGATGTCATCTATGATGTCATGAGGGTGTTGGCCAATAACGTTGCAGCCCACAGACTGGGCAGTCCCCAGGCTCTCTTTAATGGTTCAAAAGAGTTCTCTAGCTAAAGGATGTTGACGGCCTCAACAAAAGTGATATTTCCACTGCGCCCAGTGTTTCTTCTTTCTGTATTGGTGGTTCTTTGAGGCTTTGGTGATCAGGGCCTGTCTGTCCTGAATGGACGCAGATTCACTGTGATCTTCTGACCCTTCCCGTCGCTGCCAGAGGCTGCTATGGCAATGCCCTCATCAGTCTTTTCTGGAGACGGTCCCAGGGAGCTGACCTTGGGGGCCAGGGCGGAGGTGGCACTGACTTCCCCACTGCTGCACCTCAGTTATAGGACTTTGATCTCCTTGGGGTTCAACTTGGGCAGCCTGGTGGAGGCGGCTGGTGTCTGTCAGGTGAACCAGATTGGGAACAACTGAAGAAAGTCGCACCGAAGCCTCCTCCAAGGCAAACGCCAAAAAGCTAGATAGGACTCTTTAAAAAAAAAAAAAAAAAATATATATATATATATATATATATTTTATTGATTTTGTACAGAGAGGAAGGGAGAGAGATAGAGTTAAAAACATCGATGAGAGAGAGTCATCGATCAGCTGCCTCTTGCACACCTCCTACTGGGGATATGCCCGCAACCAAGGTACATGCCCTTGACCGGAATTGAACCCGGGACCCTTCAGTCCCTAAGCTGACGCTCTATCCATTGAGCCAAACTGATCTCGGCTAGATAGGACTCTTGATTGCAGGGGACAGAAACCTGGTTTAAACCAGCTTAGAAACTAGATGCTATGGGTTCAGGCTGCAGGGAGGACAGAGGCAGAGCCACCCCAGGAAGGACAAGCCAGGACAAGCGTCAGCAGGCCTCTCAGAGCCTCTCTGGCTCTCAGTCCTGCTGCTCTCAGCTGGGCTTCTTTCTCGCAGCTGGAGCAAGGCCACGTCTAGGTCCCAGCTCCAGCTCCCAGTTGGATCCCAGAGAGCGCTTCTAACTCACCCCCTTTCTCAGTCTTGTTCCTTTTGGTCCACACAGCCCTGAGCAGAGCTCTGATTGACCAGACGGGCCAGGTGCCCAGCTTTAGTCCACTCCCTGTGGTTGCGGGGATAAGGTCATATAAGCCTTGGGCCCAGCCTGTGCACCTCAGTGGTTAAATGTTGACCTATGAACCAGGAGGTCATGGTTTGATTCCCGGTCAGAGCACATGCCTGGGTTGTGGGCTCAATCTCCAGTTGGGGGCGTGCAGGAGCCAGCCAAACAACAATTCTCTCTAGTCATTGGTGTTTCTATCTCTCCCTCTCCGTTCCACTCTGAAATCAATAAAAATATAATAAATAAAAAAAACACAAATGCACACACACACAAATACACCCTTGGAACATATACCTGGAAATTGTGAGCGAGAACCAACAGGTTGAGTTAAGGCTGCTTTTTGGCTGCACGGTTTCTCTGCAGGGGTCATAGAAGACATACCTGATGGGACTAACATTGAACACCCACTCTGTGCTGAGCATGGCTCTGTGCCCTTTATAACATTTAAAGCTGCCCTAAGGGGTCGGTAGGTATAATATTGTTGGCATATCCCCCAAGCTCAGAGGAGTTGAGTATCTTGTTCTTTTTTTTTTTTTTTTAAATATATTTTATTGATTTTTCACAGAGAGGAAGAGAGAGGGATAGAGAGTTAGAAACATCGATGAGAGAGAATCATCGATCAGTTGCCTCTTGCACACCCCACCCTGGGGATGTGCCCGCAACCAATGTACATGCCTTTGACCGGAATCGAACCTGGGACCTTTCAGTCCACAGACCGATGCTCTATCCACTGAGCCAAACCGGTTTCGGCGAATATCTTGTTCTTGATCACACAGTGGATAAATGGTCGAGTGGGACCAGAGCCCAGATGGTTAGACTCCAAGACCACTGCTCCGCCCGGTGTGGCATGTCCCGAGTTCATGGGCAGTCCCGGGAGGAGGCTCCTGGCCTCCTGACCTAAGCTAGAGCGTGCAGAGGAGCTGGTGTCGGTCTTGCTGACCTGGAGGGTGGGCTGGCGTCGGAATAGCCCAGAGGTTTTTGTATAGCTGCCTGAGGGACATATTTTCCCCGGGAGACACTAGGAATGTCTGAAACATGTTTGGGTATCACTGGGGAGGAAAGGCTACTGGCATCCAGGAGGTAGAAGCCAGAGATGCTGGCAAACATCCTAGCGTGCACAGGAGAGTCCCAGCCCCAAAGATAGTCCCAGCCTGAGCAGGCAGTGAGGCCGCTGTGTGATGCTCCCGCCTCAAGCCGAGGGGCCTCAGACAGTTACTGTGGCAGAGCATGCAGCAGACTCAGCTGACCAGAGGTTCTCTCTTTTTTAGGGTTTTAAAGGAACAATGGATTCGAGCTAAGTACGAGAGACAGGAATTTATGGCTGATGGGAAAACCATCTCACTCACAGGTACAGTGAATGTTCATCCCCCTTTGAGGTCTCTATTGCAGCGAGTTCTAAAAAAGCAAGCGCCTGATTCTTAGGAGCAAGGTCCAACCAAGAGATATCTGTTGCCCTCCCTCTGGCCACAGAGGCCCGGGCCCGGGTTTCTCTGCCACTGAAATGGCAACACAGCAGTTGGTGGGGTTTGCGGTCTGCATGGACAGGAAGCATGTTTGCATGTCCTTGCGGGGCCGCCAGGGTGTAGAGTCTTCCTGTAAGTTGCAGGAAGGCTCACCCATCGGGAACACACCCCTGCGCCTGGCCCCTGTAGCCCCTGGTGTGGCACAGGCTTAGTCAGGTGCTTGGGCTGGATGTCACCTTCCTTCATGCCCTGGTGCAAGACACAACCTCATTGGTAGTCCTGGACCTTGGCTGACACTGACCCGGAGAGCAAAGTGCACAAAACCACTCTGGGAGGATCAGAGGCAGCCAGTGCTCCACTCACCTAGCTACCAGGAGCACCTGGCATTTGTCAGCCGGCAGGTGCCTGGGGGGCGGGCATTATTCCTGCTCTCTGGAGTGTGCCCCTGGGCTGATGTCCACAAGAAATCATCAGTACAGTTTCTCAGGACTTAGCCTCCGTGAGGGCTTACTGTGTCTTCTTAAGACATAGCCAAGGGAGAACATTGGAAATGTGGCGCCTGATAGGACCCCCATGTCCTGCATCGGAAACAGCCACATTGGTTAGATTTGAGACATTTTAGCAGCAGGTGGGAGGTTCGTTGTACCCCGAGACCCTACGAGGATTGGGAGCTGCTTGTTTGTCTTGAGGCTGTGGGCGTTCACTCTCTGTCCTCCTCGGCGGCTTAGGTAACCGGGAAGGGTTCCTGTGGAAGCGGGGAAGGGACAACGCGCAGTTCCTGAGAAGGAGGTTTGTCCTGTCGGCGAGAGAAGGCCTTCTGAAGTACTACACTAAGGAACAGGTAAGAGGCCGGATCTGGGAGGGGGCTCTCACCCCACCGACGTCTGCTCTTCAATCAGTAGGGACTTGTCTTGTGGGTGGTCTCAGCCACGGACAGTCAGGCCCCACATCCCATTTTTCCTTGGTAATAGTCAATCCAGCCCACTCCAAAACACCTGTTCACGTAGAATAAGCTTAGACTGGTCCATGAGGAAACCTGATGATCACTTGATTTGACTTCATTGGTACACACCAGGAATATTTATTGAGCACCCACTATATGCTAGGCATTATTGTAGACACTGGGGACATAGCATTGAACTAAACAAAAGCTCCTCTTCTCTCGGAGCTTGCATGCTAGTGGAAGGAGACATGTGGTGATCAAACATACATCAGCATATGATAGAGCAGGTGGCAGGAAGTGCTAAGAAGTGAAATAGACGAGCATGTGAGGGAGCGGCCAGCAGAAGGCTCTGAGCACTTGGCCTTCACCTTGCTCGGCTTCCTACATGTAGGAATTATTGTGTATTTCCCCCGTTGCTTTCCTAGATGGACCTGTGCGATATGTGGCTATAGTCTAGGGCCAAGTGAAAAATGATAAGGAACGAAGAGTATTTATCCTCCAACTGAGAGTAGGGATTTCTTTTCTTTTTCTCTTTTTTTAAATATCTTTTTATTGATTTCAGAGAGGGAGAGGGTGAGAGAGATAGAAACATCCATTGTGAGAGAGAATCATTGATTGACACCTCCTGCACATCCCCTACTGGGGATCGAACCTGCAACTGGACATGTGCCCTTGATTGGAATTGAACCTGAGACCCTTCAGTCTGCAGGCCTATGCTCTATCCACTGAGCCAAACCAGCTAGGGCAAAGTAGGTTTTCTTATTAGTCTTCAGTTTAAAGTCCTGGAAAATGTTGCAGGCACAAGAGGCAGGAAGAGAAAGTGGAGCAGAGTTAGGAGGGGCCACCGAACCCCCGCAGCCGCTGGGAGCTGGTCTCTCGGAGAGTCTCAGTGCTAAGCCTGTTTAGTCTGAAACAGTCTAAAAATAACACAAGTTGCCTTTGGTCTTTTTAATTTCTTTCCCCAAAAAGGAAAAATTTTAATTTATAAAGGTAACTCATTTTTATGTAAAAATTTGGGGTGATACAAGAAAGTAAATAAAGTGTAAAGAAAGTGAAACTCAAAAGATATCTCAGCATAACAAAATGTAGATACTCAGAACACTTTAAAAAAAATAACAACAACCTACAGATCAAGAAGAAAAAGACAATCGATTAGAAAAATGGCAAAGAAAATGGACTGGCCTTTTACCGGAAAGGAAACCAAAAGGCCAGATAAGGGTGAGAAGAGACACTTGATGTCTCTGGCAGTCAGGGAAATGCAGACCAAAACCACAGTGAGATGCTGCACGCACACCATCATGGCTAAAATTAAACAGCCTGACAGCACCACATATGGGTGAGGATGTGGAGAAATTGAAACTCTCATCCATAAATTACATAACCTCTTTGGAAAAGAGTTTGGCAATTTTATTTTTTTTAAATACGTTTTTATTAATTTCAGAGAGGAAGGAAGAGGGAGAGAGAGAGAGACAGAAACATCAATGATGAGAGAGAATCATTGACCTGTTGCCTCCTGCATGTCCCCCACTGGGGATTGAGTCCACAACCCTGACATGTGCCCTAGATGGGAATTGAACCTGGGACCCTTCAGACCTTAGGTCAACGCTCTATCCACTGAGCCAAATCTGCTAGGGCATTGGCAATTTTAAATAAAGTTAAATATATACGTAACCACATAACTTAGCCATTCTATTTACTGAGGAGGAACAAAAACATATGTCAAAAAAAATTGTTCATAGAAGCTTTATTTGATGTTTCTACCTCTTTATTTATAATAGCCCAAACCTGGAAAGAACCCAAATGTCCGTCCACAGCTGGATGCATACACAAATTGTAATACCTCCATAGAATGGAATGTTACTCAGCAATACAGGGGGACAAGGTACTAAACATGCAACAAGGTGGATTAATCTAAAAATATTATTCTGAGCAAAAGAAGCCTCATTCAGGAATATGTACTACATAATTTCATGTATATGAAATTTCACAACAAGCAAAACTACTCTATATCAATAGCAAGTAGGTGAGTGATTGCCTGGTGTTGAGGTGGGGTGGGTGGGGATTGACTGTAAAGGGGCAGAGGAAACTTTTGGGGTGTCAATGATGTTGACTATCTTGATTGTGGTAGTGGCTACAGGGGAATATATGCTTGTCAAAAATCAAACTGTATTCTTTTTAAAAAATAATTTATTGATTTTTTATAGAGAGGAAGAGAGAGGGACAGAGAGTTAGAAACATCGATGAGAGAGAAACATTGATCAGCTGCCTCTTGCACACACCCCCACTGGGGATGTGCCCACAACCCAGGTACATGCCCTTGACCGGAATCAAATACAGGACCTCTCAGTCTGCAGGCCAACGCTCTATCCACTGAGCCAAACCGGTTTCAGCAAAACTGTATTCTTAAAATGAGTTTTTGTTTATCAATTATACCTCAATATAGCTGATTAAATGAAAACAGTGAGGCTCAATTTCAAGTCCATCATATTGGCAAAAATGTTAAAAATTGGCAGTGTCAGTTGTTAGAGAGAATGGGGGGGAGGGGAACCCTTCTTTGTGTTAATAGGCTCCTACTATGCATCCTGTTTCGGGACTTGGTATTTCTCATGGCTATCATGGATATTTTTTCATATTAGTAATATTGACCTAAATTAGTCTTTTTATTTTATTTTTAAGATATATTTTTATTGATTTCAGAGAGAAAGGGAGAGGGAGAAAGAGGTAGAAACATCAATGATGAGAGAGAATCATGGATTGGCTGCCTCCTGCACACCCCCTACTGGGGATTGAGCCAGCAACCAGGGCATGTGCCCTTGGCTGGAATTGAACCTGGGACCCTTCAGTCTGCAGGCCGAGACTCTATCCACTGAGCCAAACTGGTGAGGGCTAAATTCATCTTTTTAAAATGTTTGTGGCATTTCATTGTGTGGAGGTACCATGACTGAATTATTTAATGGATATGTAAAACATTTCTTTTTCTTTTGGTACACCAGTAATTAACTAGCAATAAGCATCTTTTGGCATGCATGTTTGCACAGAAATGCAATTACTTCCTTGGGGTGGATTCTTAGATGCAAAATTGTGAGTCAAAGAAGAACACTCAACATTGTAATAGATATAACCAACTTTCCCCCTAGAGAAGACTGTTCAATAGAACTTCCTTCAGTTCTATGCTTTTCCTGTTCAATACCCTAGCCACTAGCCCTAGCTGGTTTGGTTCAGTGGATAAATTATTGTCCTGTGGACTGAAGGATCCTGGGTTCGATTCCTGGTCAAGGGCACATATCTTGGTTTCAGGCTCCATTCTGGGGCCGCGTACGGGAGGCAACCAAATAATGTATCTCTCTCACATCTCTCTCTCTCTCTTTCTCCCCCCCTCTCTTTCTCTCTCTCTCTCTCCTCCTTCCTTCCACTCTCTCTAAAAAATCAATGGGGAAATGTTCTTGGGTGAGAATTAACAACAACAACAAAATACCCTAGCCACTGGCCTCGAGTGGCTACTCGAGGCCAGTGGCTAGGGTAGGGCTGAGAAAGGAACTGAAGGGCTGAGAAAGGAACTGAAGTTTTATTTTATTTTTTTCTTGTCTTTAAAAAAAACATATTTTTATTGATTTCAGAGAGGAAGGATAGAGGGTGAGAGATAGAAACATCAATGATGAGAATCATTGATCAGCTGCCTCCTTCCTGCATGCCCCTTACTAGAGATCAAGCCCGCAACCCTGGCATGTGCCTTTGACCGGAATTAAACCTGGGACCCTTCAGTCCACAGACCAACGCTCTATCCTCTGAGCAGACCAGCCAAGGCTATTTTTATTTAAATGGCACATGGGTTAATGGCTCCCACAGCTCCACAATTTTTGTTATAAATTTTCTCTCTTACCAATTTTGAAGGAAAGCACTCTTTTCCCTGCTCAGCATGAATCAGTGATGGAACTGTTTCAGAACCCTGAGACCAGCGAGTACTCCACATCTGCTTTATCTGCTTTATTTTATTGAGTGGCTTCCACAGATGACTTGCTTCAGAAAAACGTCCGTGGCTAAAATTTTGAAAAGTCCTGCGTTAAAGCCTCTCCAGGCCCCATTCCAATTCGAGAGGCCAGTCTGAGTGAGCAGGATGGTGGGATGGCTGAATACAGGACAGGGGGAGAATACGTGTGTCTTAATGTCAGAGCAAGAATATGGAAAGCCCACAGAAGGTTACAAGTTGGTTATCGGTCTGCTTGAGGCTTTGGTGAAGGAGATGATTCCCTGCAGACTGTCTCTCGGCATCTTGAGTACCCATTCCCTCTCTTTCAGGGGAAAAGCCCCAAAGCTGCCATCCACCTCAAGGACTTAAATGCCACCTTCCAAACGGAGAAGATAGGGCACCCCCACGGGCTGCAGATCACCTACCGGAGAGAGGGCCACACCAGGAACCTGTTTGTGTACCACGAAAGCGGCAAGGTGAGCTGCCTGGCCTCGCGTGCCGCCCTCCAGCTCGGCTCCCCAGGGCTCTGCGGGCCCAGCGACGAACCCTCTTGAGTTGTGCAGCTACTGTTTGCCTAAATCTATGGTCACTTTCTGTAGAGATAGAGGTGTGAGGAAGGCAGGGTGAGATCAGAGAGAGGAGCCTGACATACAAAGTGGGTGGTTCTGGACAGTTCACATCCACCAACGGGGTCCAGGCAGCAAAAGGACGATGCCCGGGTATGGCGAGTCCAGGTGGCACCAGAGATCTGAGGATGGGGGAGGAATGGAGAGATCGGGCAGCAGTGCATGCTGGGTTCTTGCTTTTCCATGTGTAGGTCCACCCTGGACCTACTGAATTAGAAATGCATTTTATTTAAAATATTTTTAATTTTTAAAATATTTTTATTGATTTGAGAGAGAGAGAGAGAGAGAGAGAGAGAGAGAGGGAGAAACATCAATGATGAGAGAGAATCATTGATCAGCTGCCTCCTGCATGCCTCACATTGGGAATCAAGCCCGCAACCCGGGCAGGTGCCCAGACCAGGAATCAAACCATGACCTCCTGGTTCATAGGTCAACGCTCAACCACTGAGCCACGCTGGCCTGGCAGAAATTGCATTTTAAAAGGATCCGCAGGTGATCCTTATGCACATTAAAGTTTGAGAAGCATTACGTAAAGGTCCAGGAAATCAGACCCTGGTCCGGCTGCTGTGGCCAAGAAGGGGCGGGATCCAGCAGCAGCTGTGGCTGGGCGGTGGGTGATGAGGATGAGTGGGGCAGTTCTCATAGGCTGAGCAAAAATCTATGTCAACATCTAAACTAACCTTCAGGATCAGTAGAATGTCTTGGGCCATACGGATGCGTTGGTGAGAGAGCGAGGTGGGTGAGGCACAGAGTTCCAGGAGGAGGGAGCAGAAATGGCTTTGTTTGTACGGAAGGCACTTGGAGGGCAGTCTCTCAGACCAAAGAGCTTAGGTTTTCTTCGTGAGGGTCGTGGAGGGGACTCGACCTTGGACTCAGTAGACTTGCAAAGGGAAAAGCACCCTGGCTGCGGGCAGGGAGGACCGATGGGGGAGCATCGGAGCAGGGCAGAGCCGGCTGGAGGAACTGTCCACCTGGTGAGGTGGTGGTGCCCACACGGCTGAGGGGGGCATTCTCCCGGAGTGACAGCAGAAGGTCCAAGCGGCTTCGGCCTGCACTGCCCTCCGAGCCATGAGCACCCCCAGTGGAGGAGCACTCCCCAGTGCCCGTGCCCCACCTGAAAACCGGTCTTGGACATCTGAGCGAGGACTCCCGCTCCTCAAAGTGTGTCCTACTGGCCAGCATCATGTCGCTGATTGTGAGAATGCAGACTCTCAGGCCCTACCCCACCCCACTGGACTTACATCTGCCCTGTAACCAGATCCTCAGGTGATGTGTACACCCGTGAGGAAATGTCAAGGACCGTCCCAGGCCATTGGGTAACTCCCATGCAGCTCACCTGGGGCCTTTCCCATGGCTCCAGACCTCCCTGCCACTGGCTTCCACTTGCTCCCGTGAGGTTCTCCCGCCCCTGCCCTAACACCCCACCCCCACCGCTTCCTCACCCTGGTGTTGTCCTCCCCCCCTCCCCCACTGCCTGTGATCAGCCCACAGGCCCCTCAGTGGAACTGGGGGAATGTGTGTGTGTGTAATGCTGCACACAGACCTGAAAACCTTTCTTCTTCTTCATATATATATATATATATATATATATATATATATATAATTGATTTTTCACAGAGAGGAAGAGAGAGGGATAGAGAGTTAGATACATCGATGAGAGAGAATCATTGATCAGTGCCTCTTGCACACCCCCCACTGGGGATGTGCCAAGGTACATCCCCTTGCCCGGAATTGAACCTGGGACCTTTCAATCCACAGGCCAACGCTCTATCCACTGAGCCAAACCGGTCCTGGCCAGACCTGAAAACCTTGCTAGCTTCCTGCCACCACTCTCAGCCCAGCCCCCCGACCCCCAGCTCACCGGCTGTCCGTCTGTCCTTTGCCTTTTTCTCTGCAGGAGATAGTGGACTGGTTCAACTCCCTCCGCGCAGCCCGTCTGCAGTACCTAAAGGCGGCCTTTCCTGAGCTCCCAGAGTCTGAGGTGAGCTAACAGAGGACCCCAAACTCTGAGTCTCCTCTCTGCCACCTCCTCTCCCTGTCTGCTGACCCGGAAGACACTCAGAGGCAGACTAGGTTGGTTTGCAGGCAAGACCTTGAGACTTGGGGATGGGCACCTCCGAGGGAAGCCAAAGGCTTTCTCCTGGGGAGGCGGAGGGGGGTGGGAGGAGATAAGGAGGCCTCCAAAAGGCAGGCCAGGCTGTCCCCTTCGGGTGACAAAGGGCTCAGGATTTGGGCATTTCTTCCTGACCCATTTTCCCTCTACGATCCCCACCACACTGCTCACAAAGTGCTTTAGAGTCCTTTTATCTCCTAACTCTGTAGCAGTGGTGGTGGTGGTGGGGATGGTTATTCCCATTTTGTTGATGAGAAACTGAGTCCCAGGAAGGTCATGTGGATAATCACATGTGCTTTTCCCACACTCACGTGCCCTTTGCCCTTCATATTCTGGTCTCGTGAAGGCAGTTCCCCATTACAGTTCTAGCAGGAACATCTGCTTTTCACAGCCCAGGAGGTGGTGAGCCTTTTGAACTTCATGTTGCTCGTCTCCAGTGCCTGGGAGGTACCTCTCTCAGGCTTGGCTGGGGGAGCGGGCATTGTGGGCAATGCCAAGGCCGAGGGTGCTGCCTGGAGCCAGGAGGCCTGGGCTCTCATGGGTGCTCTGTGGCTGACCTGCTTTGTGACCCGTGCAGGTCACGCCACCTCTCTGCAGACCTGTTTCCAGATCTGCAAGATGGCACTTCATCTAGGTCATCTTCAGGGTCCCTTCCAGCTTTGAGGCGCTATGATCCGGTGTTTAGTTTAGGCCCTACTTGAAGAGGATTTTGTAAGTGATAGGGCTGTCTTATTCCAAACTGCGAGGTCCTCCTTAAAAACCTAAATGCTCCTTAGTTCCCAAGTTTTCGGGGAGCCGAGTGCCTGGGATGGGGGTCCACTCCAGGCCCAGTGATGCACCGGGATGGTGACCCTCTGGAAGCGACCCCAGCCGCCTGGGTCAGGGTGCTCCGGGGCTGCAGAATCAGCACCCAGAACTGGCGAGCGCACATTCCTGGGGACAGGGTGCTGGGGTGCTGGCTGCTGACTGGGGAGCAGGGAGGGCCAAGTGCAGATGCTCAGCCGGCCGCCTGGATCTGAGCTGGCGCTCCGACTTTGCTGACCTCTGCAGAGGAAATGGGTGGTTGGCCAACATCCTCAATGTCCTCTTGCCTCCCTCATCTGCCATCATTACCTCTCTGTGCCCATCTCCCCCCTGCCTTTCCTCCTCTACGTCTGTGTGAGGTCCTGGGCCGTCGCTTAGGCATCCAGATGCCAGGAGCCCGGCTTTGGCCTATGTGGGGTTTTGGTCCATGGACCGAAGCCAGGGAAGCTGTGTTACCAAGGGCAATGCCCCTTACCGCTCTGAGCCTCAGCCTGCTCATCTGTCACCTGCTCTTCTACCTCCCAGGGCTATTGTGAGAATCAGGGGAGCCACGGCATCTGAGGTACAGGGATCAGTACTCCATCCACGTGTCTTTCCTCCTTGGAGGTGTTTCCCTCGGCCTAGACTAGCCCTGCCTCGGCTCAGGTTCAGACTGTTGAGCACAAGGGACTCTGTTTTTGTTTTTGTTTTTCTTTTTCTTTCTTTTTTTGTTTTTTTTGTTTTCTGCAAACGAAGGAATTGAAGTCTATAGACTATGTTTTAGGGGAAGGGAAGTTGTATAGTTTATATTTTTGGGTTTGCTCACCATTTCCTCCCTTTCAGACTTCCTATTCCCATTCCCTAGACCTCACTTCCTCTTTGCCTCTGCCCTGGAGCTCTGGGGTCCCCCTCTCCACCACCTCAGAGGGCTGAGCTGTGGTTGGAAGCCCTAGGCTTGCCAGGTTGACCTGTGCTCCAGCATCAACCCCTGGCTGCGCCTCTGAGGTAGCAGGGCAAGCTGCGAGGAATCCGGAAGATCACGCCTTCCGGTCTCCTGACTGCAGAGAGGGAAGCAGGCTCAGAGAGGAGGCAGGGTTTGCCAGGGGAACACGGCTAGTTGAGGTCAGAACTGGAGCTAGAACCCTGTCTCCTGACTCCTAGTCCAGAGCTTTCTCTACGTTCCCACTCTGCTGTCCCCTCCTTGGGGCCCTGTGTCAGAATCCCCACTATGGCCAGGGGCCTGATGAGAGGCATGTTTATTCTCTAGCATCACAGGAGGACCACACGTGTGTGTCTAGTGTCCATCAGCCCTAGGTGTGGATCCCAGATCTCCATCCTCCCAGCAGGGTGACCTCGGGAGTACCCTTGACCACTGTACCATTGCAGTGACAATGCCTCCCACCTCAGGGGGTGGCTGGGAATTGCTCCCAGAGCCTGATACACACTAGACCCTGTAGGAGAGCATGACAGGAGGGTCTCCTCAGAGCCTTGTCTGTGTCTACCTCCTGGGGAGGGTCAGAGCGTTCCTTAAATCAAGTTCTTCAACCAAGACTCAGCTGTGTTGGGAAGCCCCGCACACATCTGGCTCTGTTGAAATATTAACATTGCATCCATACCACGTTCCAAATATAGCCCCGTGAGCCACGAGCACACACATCCTTCCCCATTCCAGACTTCCCCTTTGTGGCACGGCCAAGTTCAGTGGGGGGCCCGACCCCCCCGGGCTGTCAGTCAGGGGGTCAGTGCATGTCTCTTTCTCCTCCAGCTCGTGCCCCTCATCACCAGGAACTACCTCAAACAAGGCTTCATGGAAAAGACTGGCCCAAAGGTACATTCTCCGCGTCCCTGGGGGCTTTCCTGGCCCCCCGGCCTCGAGGGCAATAGGGCAGAACATGGGAAGCGGGACAAGGAAGGAAGTAAACCAATGTGTGTGCGTTCCCGGGGCCAAGGACCGAGGGGTCAGCTGGCCAGTGTTGCTGCAGGTGCCTCTCCCTCTCCCCGGGCATCCTCTCTCCTTGTCAGCACCACCCTCCCCTGCTTTCCCCTTAGCTCCCCCAGATGACCCTGCTCCTGGGAAAGCATCGCTGGAAGGGTCTCCACTCTTGTGCTCTGTGTGCTCTGGGCGGGGCCCACGTGAGTCAGGGGCTAGAGATTAGTCTGAGAGGACACACCTGTGCACCACGCGGGGCACGTGGGCAGGCCCCTCCCAGCACAAGCCCGCCTCTGCTCCCATTTGCAAACCAGTCCTAACCCCTGGGCGGCTGCTGCTTCCCGCTTCCCGTGAAGGAAAGGGAGCCCCTGAGCCTCCCACCGAGGGTCCAGGCGTGGAGGCTCCTGCTGCCCGAGGGCATCTCAGACCCAGACCGCGTATTGGTGGGTGAGGCTCAAGGTCAGAAGTCTGGCTGGAGTGGGTGCGGTGGCGTGAGGAGAGAGAGGGGGGATGGGAGGAGGGGAAGAGAAAAGGAAGGGAAAAGCTGGAGCTCCCTAAAAACTCTCCTAAAGCGGGAGCATCCCAAGGTGTTTTTAAGGTGTGATTTGTTGTTGAAACTACCAGGAAAGCCCTACTGGTTTGGCTCAGTGGCTAGAGCGTCTGCCTGTGGACCGAAGGGTCCCAGGTTCCATTTCGGTCAAGGGCACATGCCTGGGTTGCAGGCTCAATCCCCGGTGGGGGGTGTGCAGGAGGCAACCGATCAATGATTCTCGCTCAACATAAAAATATGTTAAAAACGAAAAACAACCTACCGGGAAAGGTGTTAAGCAATTAGTGTGAAAGGAAGCCTCAGTCAGCTTGAGAGCTAGTCCAAAGGTTGCACACTTTGCTTTCTTCTTTTTTCAAAGATAATATTGGTTTATATTGATTATATTGGTTTCAGGGAGGAAGGCAGCGGGAGAGAGAGAAACATCAAGGAAGAGAGAGAATCATTGGTTGGCTGCCTCCTGCACACCTCACACTGAGAGCCAAGCCCTGACCAAGCCCCCGACCAGGAACCGAACCGAGACCTCCTGGTTCCTAGGTGGACACTCAACCCTGAGCCACGCCGGTTGGGCATGTTCCCTTCTTTCAGCAGCCGGGGCACAGCCTTGGCTTTCTTTCACCAGCCTGTGGTTTTTGCCCTCATCCCCTGACCCAGGTGAGGCTTTGACCAAGGCCAGGGCTCTCGGCATTGCTGAGCGGTAGCCATTTCTGATTTCCCCAGCTTCCTTTCTCTGAGACTTCTTGTCCGCAGCCTGAGCAGGGTGGCGCTGGCAGGGCTGGGGAGGTGGCACAGCCTTCAGAGCTCCGGGGCCCCAGGGAGGGGCACTGGGTGACTGCAGAGCAGGGACCGGCCTGCTCCCGTGGCCTCGTCAGCCTGGCAACTTTGACCTCTGTGCGTCCCTGGCTCGGCCCACCTGGCACAAGTTTCCCTCTTTTGCAGCAACGAGAAGCTTTCAAGAAAAGGTGGTTTGCCCTGGATGCCCAGGAGCGGAGGCTGCTCTATTACAAGAACCCCCTGGTAAGAGCCATGGCCTGGCCTGCCCCAGTGCCCCCGAGATGGAGGCTGGTCAGTGCTGGTGGGGAGGCTTCAGGAGCACCCAGCCGAGGTCACAGCGCCATCTTGGCTTGTGTCTTAGTCATCTCTGCATGAAGCTACTCCTCCTCACCCGCAGGAAGTCCCTCATGTGGACCCAAAATGCTGCCAACGTAGGCAAACAGGGTGGTTTTCGTCCTCTCACATCCAGGCCCATTTCTGACCAGAAGGCTGGGAAGTGCAGTGATTAGGAGTGTGGGCTCTAGAACTCTGCTATCTGTACTCTGGTGTCGACCCTGCCACTTTTAGTGGTGGCCCTGGACAGAGTACTTAGCTCTCCCTGTCTCAGTTTCCTCCTCTGGAAAATAGGCTTACTAGCAGTGCCTTCCTGAGAGGTTGCCATGAGGATTGCATGAAGCACCATCTGGTGCTTAGCTCTCCATAAATACTATTTTTATTTTTAAATATATTTTATTGATTTTTTTTTTTTTTTTTTTTTTACAGAGTTTTGGAAGGGAGAGAGATAGAGAGTTAGAAACATCAATCAGCTGCCTCCTGCACACCTCCTACTGGGGATGTGCTTGCAACTAAGGTACATGCCCTTGACTGAAATCAAACCTGGGATCCCTCAGTCCGCAGGCCAATGCTCTATCCACTGAGCCAAACCGGTCAGGATTAAGTATCATTTAAAAAAAAATTAATCTTCTTAAAGACTTTAAAAAAAAATTGAATTTAGAGAAAGAAGAAGGGAGAGAGAGCCGAAACCGGTTTGGCTCAGTGGTAGAGCGTCGGTCTGCGGACTGAAGGGTCCCGGGTTTGATTCCGGTCAGGGGCATGTACATTGGTTGCGGGCACATCCCCGGTAGGGGGTGTGCAGGAGGCAGCTGGTCGATGTTTCTCTCTCATCGACGTTTCTAGTTCTCTATCTCTCTCCCTTCTTCTCTGTAAGAAATCAATAAAATATATTTAAAAAAAAAAAAGGAGAAGGGAGAGAGAGAGAGAGAGAAAAAGAGAGAGAGAGAGAGAGAAAAAAAAAAGAGAGAAGAGAGAAGAGAGAAACATCAATTTGTTCCACTTATGCATTCTTTTATGTGCCCTGACTGGGGATCAAACCTGGAAACTTGGTGTGTCAGGACAATGCTCCAACTAAGCGATACTAAATACCATTCGAACAGATGATGTGTGTGATTTCTCTTACAGTTTCATCCTTTCAGATTCTGGGACCCACCTTGAAAAATCCTCAATAGTGACATGCCCACCATCTCTCTCTAAAATAGAATTTGGGGGTGGTCATGGCTGCAGGTGCCCCTGTGCCCCAGGTGTGACCTTTGATGACCCTGTGGCCTCCATTTCCAGGACGCCTTTGACCTGGGCCAGGTGTTCCTCGGGAGCTGGGAGCAGGGGTACGAGGTGTCCGAAGGCCTGCCCAAGGACGTCCAAGGAAACCGCTGGAAAGCGGGCCTCACCATCGTCACCCCCGAGCGCAGGTTCCTCTTCGCCTGCCCCAGCGAGAAGGAGCAGGGCGAGTGGCTGGAGAGTTTCCGGGACGTGCTCTCCCGGCCCCTGACATCCTTCAACCTCCTCAGTAAGATGCGGGGCCTGGGAACTGTGCTTTTGGCCAAAGGCAGAGGGCAGGATGCGCTTCTTCACGTGGGTGGGCTCTGAGCCCTGAGGCCGAGGTCATGGCTCCTGACTGCGCTTTTTCTATTCTCTTCCCGCCAAAGAAAAGGACAGACAGGGACATGATTCCCAGCAGCCCGCTCTGGCCACACTAAGTTCCTCCTCCAGGCGCCCTTCCCCAGTAGCATCTGGAGTTTGGTCCTGGCAGAACCTGGTTAGATCCCCTTCTCGCCTGTGCTGAGTGAAGGGGCCCAGCGGCCTCTCTCTTCCACCAGCTCCCTTCCCTGAGTCCCTTTCCTCGTGAGAGAAGCCTGGCCTGTTATTATCAGCGAAGGTCACACCCTGGGGCAGCTCCCAGAGTTATCTTTTTATTTTATTTTTATTTTATTTATTGGGGCGGAGGGTGGGGGGAGAGGAACATCCATTTGTTGTTCCACATATTCATGCATTCAAAGGTTGATTCTTTAAAAAAAAAAAAAAAATATATATATATATATATATTTTTTTTTTTTATTAAATTTTTTTTTTTTTTTTTTTTTTTTTTTTTTTTTTTTACAGAGAAGAAGGGAGAGGGAGAGAGAGCCAGAAACATAGATCAGCTGCTTTCTGCACACCTCCCATTGGGGATGTGCCCACAACCATAGTACATGCCCCTGACCGAAATTGAACCCGGGACCCTTCAGTCTCCAGGCCAATGCTCTATTCACTGAGCCAAACCGGTCTTGGCCATAGGTTGATTCTTTTATGTGCCCTGACTGGGGATCGAACCCGCAACCTTGGCCTATTGAGATGATGTACTAACCAACTGAGCCACCTGGCCAGGGCCTAGCTCCCAGGATTTGAGATTCCTCCCCACTGGCAGAGGGAAGGCTGTTTTTAGTGTCCTTTTCTCTGGGCCCTCCCTTCTGTCCGCCCTTCTCCAGCTACCCCCTTCCCCCAACATGTAGGCTTCCTGTCTGCCAGCAGCCCTGTGAATAGAGGGAAGATGTTCTGAGCTAGAGCAGGAACCTTCTGGCCCAGGGCCTGGCTTCTGGGCCCAGGGAGAAGTTCTGTGTTTGGAAAAGTACAGACTGAGAAAGGGACCCCATATGGCCCCTTGGGAGAAACCCTGGTGCCCTTTGAGTCTGACCAGTGTGAACACAAACTCGCTTTGCTTTCCAAATGCTCTGAGCCAAAGTGCTCTGAGCCAGACTCCGAGGTGACCAGGGAAGCACCTCAGCGGATGCTTTCTTGTCCCTGTGGCCTGTGTCTGAGTCTCTCTGTTTCTGTGTTTCTCGCTCTCTGCTTTTCTCTTCTTCTCTGGGGTGCCTGTCCGCTCTGTCTCTCATCTTTTTTATTTTTTTATTTTTTATTGATTTCAGAGAGGAAGACAGGGAAAGATAGAAATATCACTGATGAGAGGGAATCATTGATCAGCTGCCTCCTGCACGCCCCACACTGGGATCGAGCCCAAAACCTGGGCATGTGCCCTTGTCCGGAATTGAATCTGGGACCCTTCAGTCCACAGGTCAATGCTCTATCCTGAGCCAAATTGGCTAGGGCTCCTGCCCTTTTTTAAAAATTCTGGTTCCCCCTGCCCTGTGCTGTTCTTCCAGCCTGGAGGACAGCATGGGCACAGCCACCCCCTCATCCTTCTTTTCCCCCTCTTGCAGCTGCATCAACAGAGAGTGGCCACAGCAGCAGGTGACCCGCTGGCCAAGGAACTGGCTGGCCACAGGCCATGGGAGCCCTTGGTGGAAGGAGACGTTCTCGGCTCGGCCTTGGTTACCCAGCAGGAGTGCCCTGTAGTTGGCAGCCATCACTGGCAGTGAACTCTGCCAAGACTACAGCTTTGGCCTTTACCCACCAGCTCCCTGGGCCTCACCACTGTCCTGTCTTAAGGCCCAGGACATCTCCAGTGAAGGCACTGCCATGGAAGGGCACCCACAGCATCACTCAAGTGGCATGCTTGCCCCAAAACAGTTTAATCTGACTCAACCATGAGGAAATAGACAAATCTATTCTGTAAAACAGCTGGCCTGGACTCCTCAATGTCAACATCGTGACAGATAAAGAAGTGTGCAAACTGTTTTAGTTACAGGTGACTAGAGAGCAATGCCAGGCAATGTGTGATTCTTGATTGGATCCTGGATTTAAAAATAAAAACAGCATAAAGGACATAAATTTGAATATGGCTGTGTATTAGCCAACAGTATTATGAGACTGTGATAATGATGTTGTATTTGTGTAGGAGAATGCTCTTGTCCTTAGGGGATATGCATTGAAGTGGCCAGGAGTAAAATTTTCAGTCTACAACTGACTCAGAAAAAAATAACCATGTGTACAAGTATATGTAGAGTATATACATATATACATATATGTACTATACATATGGAAGAAGATGGAGCATTATACACACACACATACACATATATACATATATCTATAATATACCAGGGGAGAGAGACAGAGCTGCTGTGTAAAATATTAGCAACTGATGAATCTAAATCAGCATTTTTCAACCTTTTTCATCTTTCTGCACACATACACTAATTACTAAAATTCTGTGACACACCAAAACATGTATTATTCTTTGTGTCCCAACTGGTGTGGCTCAGTTGGTTAGACATCATTGTGAGCACCAAGAAGTTGCCAGTTCAATTCCCAGTCAGGGGCTTGATCCCCAGTAGGGTGTGTGCAGAAGGTATTGGATTGATGTTTCATTCTCACATCAATGTTTCTCTCCCTCTCCCTCAAAAAATTTTAATTAAAAACCCCCCACATATTGTACTTTTTACTGATCTGACCAAAACAAGGTGTAATTTTGATTCATTCACATCAGACGACCATTACTGTGTTGGGTGTTGTCATTTTTTTTTTTTTTTTAATTTGTCTAAAAGAAAAGGTCGGTGCCCCTGACCAAATAGTCAGGTATTGCATATTTTAGATTTTTTTTTTTTTGCAGCACATGGGTTGAAATTGCTGATGTAGATGAGGTAGAGATAGGTTTGTATTGCCCTCTTCATGCAAACTTTCTATGGATTTGAGTGTTCTTCCCAGCCAGGGTGCCTCAGTGAGCCATGAATCAAGAGGTCACCAGATTCCCATGTTTCTCTCTCATCAGTGTTTTTATCTGCCTATCCCTCTCCCTTCTCTCTCTAAAATCAATAAAACCATGTTCAAATGAAAAGCTTAGGGGGAAAACTGAAAAAAAAATGTTTTTTATCAACTTTAGAGAAGAGAGGAAAGGAAAGAGAGAGGAAGATCAATTGGCTGCTTCCTACACGTCCTCTCCTGGAGATCCAGCAGGAACCCCGGGCATGTACCCTGACTGGGAATCTAATTAACCCGGCAGCCTTTTGGAATATGGAACGACACACAAGTGGTTGTTTTAAAACATTTTTTTAAAAAAACCACTTACTTTTCACTGCTACAAATAGTGTTTTCATGAATCAGCAATGTCCCATCTTTGTGCACATTTTAGAAGACATGAAAACCTAGGTAATACAAAGAAACGATGTCCGCATTGCTCATCACAGTCCTGGAAAGAAAGAGGGCAGCCAGGCAGACAGCTCCACCAGGAGCCCAGGGCAGAGCGCTAGAAACCCACGTGTCAGGTCTCCCTCCCCCACCTTCGTGCCTCCGTTTTCCCTATTCAAGTGAGGAAACGGTACTAGCTATGGAAATTCAATGGAAGCAGCAAGTATTTCTTTCTTTCTTTCTTTCTTTCTTTCTTTCTTTCTTTCTTTCTTTCTTTTTTTTTTTTTTTGAAAATTTTAATTAAGGTTTTATATGTGTACATATCTTACCATGCCTCCCCCACTCCCATACATGTCCTCCCTCCCCAGAGCTTTGCATCCATTGGTTATGCTTATACGCATGCATACAAGTCCTTTGGTTGATCTCCTATCGAAGCAGCAAGTATTTCTGAGCACTTCCTAGGTGCCAGGTTCTGTGCCAAGCCCTGGGCACAGACAGGAACCAGAGGACATGGTCCCTGCTGTCACCAATGGCAGGCTGCTGGAGGCCACCTTCCCCCAGGGCAGCCGAGAAGGAGGAAGGACAGGCTGCTCTGGGAGCACGTGGCAATAGGGATGGTTTACCCTAACGGAGGGGGAGTGGGGAGCCGCCTCCTCCCAAAAAGTGAGGTGGAAGTTGAAACCTTAAAGCTCTTGAGAGGTGAGTCAAAAGGACGAGGATGAGGAAAACCCGCTAGGCTGAGGCAAGATGTTCCATGCCCTGAAGATGGGAGAGGGAACTGGAGTAAAGCTGGAATGGCTGGAATGAGGCAGGAGTTGGCCACCAAGGTCTCTGCTTTATGACTTGTCCCTTCCAGGGATGTGTAGAAAGACACAGGGTGTTCCCCCTTCATTTTGCTGGAGACCTAGAGGGTTGGGAAGCTCTTAAAGAGATTCTCTGCTTTTTTGTGGTATTTTCCTTTGGGGGACTCCCTCTGCCCCCCACCCCCTCTCCCCCCAATCAGAGGACAAGCAGCAGCAGCAGCCAGGGGTCATTTCTGCGTCTTCCTGACTGCTCAATAGAGATGGGGCTGCTTCCTCCTCTGGCTCCTAAAACACCTTGAAAATGCCTGTTTCAATACCTGCTGGGTTGTATATTAAGGGTCAGGTTACTTGCCTGCCTCCTTGTGTGTGTGTGTGTGTCCCCCCCCCCCCCCCCCGGGGCTCCTGTAAGCTCTGTTGGTTGTATTGAGGATGCAAAAATAAAGGCACAGTTCTGCTTTCAAGGAACCTATGGTCTAGAAGGGAGGAAAGAGAAACAGACAGTAACAAGCTACTTGAGAGAAATGTGGATTCTTAGAAGCCCCTCAGAAGGGCAGAGAACAGACCCAGGGATGGAGATCAAGTCCCAGTGAAATGGAGTGCCTGGTTTTAGTTGGTTTCTAAGGCCTGGCTGGATCTTGGTCATTGGATTCCCCAACGATTCCTCTGTATGCTTACATGAAATCCTCTTCTCCCTTTTGACTTGTTAGAACAAGGAAGTTTTTTTTTATTTGAGCCAGTTCTGCCTAATAAGGAGTTATATTTATGCTGAGTCCTAAAGAATGAAGAGAAGATACTTGGGTGAGGGTGGGGGAAGGAGGAAAAAGAAGTGTGTGTACAAAGGCCCACAGATTAAGAGAGAACATGGCCTGTTCTGGAATCTTCAAATGGCCAAATATGGCTGGAGCACCGGTCGTGGGGAAGGCAAGGAGTGAAGAACAGGTTAGACCGGAGGAGGGTCTGTTGCCCAGGGGTGGTGTAGCTAATTCAGAACAACCATTCCACAGGTGACAATTAGAAACTCTGTACAGGCTATGACAAAACAATTATCAGAGGGCCCTGGAAAATCACCCGAAGCAGGACGAGACCGAGAGAAGTGGCCACTAGAAAGCAAGGGTGAGTTTTTCATTGTTTAGATGTTCACTTCAGGGCAGGCCCCTGTGAGTGCCTCCGAGGGTCACTAAAATGCTGATGGAAACCTGCAGTCTCACTGATGGAAAAATAGAGGACAGAGTTTATGGTTACTCAAAGGTCCACTATTCATCTGTCAGGGTAGGCTAGGTTCTGCTGCAGCAACAAGCACCCCCTAAAGCTCAGTCACCATATCCCGAGTTTATTTCTTTCCTTTACTACACGCCCTACCGTGGGTTGGCAGGGTGTCTCCTCTTTTTAGCCACTTAGAGGCTCAGGCCACCCCACCCCGGCTTCATCTCCATAGTCAGGGCAGCTGGCAGAAAGAGATACAAAGATACTAGCTTTTTAAGCTGATGGGAAGTTTAGTAGTATTTCTGTGTGTTTCAAGAGGGCCGTGGAAGTGCAGTCCTACCAGGTGCCTAGAAAGGGAAAGAGTTGGAAGCTTTGATGAACAGCACTAAAAGATACGTTTTATTGACTACTAACGGCAATTTCAAGTATTGGAAAGGCAAGGACAGAAAAACAGGCCTTTTTTCTTTGCTGTAGCCTTCTACAGCTTGTGAGAAGCACCTACTTCTTCTTTTTATTTTTTTAAAATATATTTTATTGATTTTTGTACAGAGAGGAAGGGAGAGAGATAGAAACATCAATGAGAGAGAGTCATCAATCAGCTGCCTCTTGCACACCCCCTACTGGGGATATGCCTGCAACCAAAACCAAAGTACATGCCCTTGACCGGACCTTTCAGTCCCCAAGCCGACACTCTATTCATTGAGCCAAACCGGCCCCGGCGCACCTACTTCTTAAATCCCAAGATTGTTAGCTCCTCTGACTCGGAACAGCCCCTCTGTTCAAGACAAGTCACTATCAAGGCTACATTTTTGCATACTCTTCCTCCCTGCTGTTTTTACAACTAAGGGATAATTTGCATCAAGAATTCTCTTGTTAGTAGAAAGTTCCCCCTACCCCACCCTCTTCAAACAAGCCTCTTCTGAACTCTTCATAACTTTTACACATGTTTTTACAGGCTTGGGAAAAATATTGATAATGCCCCTCTTTAGAACAGCTGCCTAGATAATCTCCTAAAAAAAGCAAACTTCTCAGAGACAACCCCCCCCCCCCATATTTGCTCAATTTCAGCCCCCAAATCCTCTTTCCTTATTACCTAGCAACTGTAGCCAAGGCTTTAAAAGGCGGAGCCACTTTTTGTTTCTTGCCTTGTATTGAATAGCAATGCACTGGCTCTTTCCCTTCGGGGAAAGTAAAATAAACTTTCTCTCTGCTTCTCTCTCAATAACTCAGTATGAATTCTTTCACCCCTCCCCCCAAAACAAACCCCTCACAACTGACAGGAAATAGCCACACATTTGTATTATCTGGTACCTACTTTAAGACCATGTAAGACGGGGGTAAAATATAAGACAGTATTAGTTCATTTCAACAGATCAGAGGAGGTGGGGAAAAGTCTCTGCCACTCAAGCCTGAAAGTTCCTTTGCCTTTGGGTCTTTGGAGAGGATTTAATGCTCTTCAGCTCCAGCGTTTTCTGGTTGTGATGCGCTTAGGACTGGCGTTAAGAGAGGAGGAAGAAAGCAAGCCCCCGCCTGGAACCAGATAAGCAAGCTGCAAGGAAACAGACTGACTAGTGCTTTCGCCAGGATGCCTGTTGGGTAACGTGCTTTCCGCCAGCAGAGGGCAGTAAGGAGACAGCGGCACAATCCTGCCTTGTACTACCCGTGGCGGTTTTTAAGGTCTAGCCGCTCAGCTTTGCACGTTTGACTTAGCGTGTGTGCGTGTGTGTGTGTGTGTGTGTGTGTGTGTGTGTGTTATAAATACCAGTGCTGGGGCTCCATCCCCGACAATGAAATCAGACCCTCGGTGGGGAGCCGAAACACTGGTATTTTTCTTAAATTAAATCTTTATTGTTGAAAGGGTTACATTTGTCCCCTTTCCCCCCAACGGACCCCCCCCCCCCCCAGCTCGCCCACCCTCCCCGCCCCCGTCCCAGCCCCAGGCCTTCAGCACCCGATTATCTGTGTCCAGGGATTGGTTATGCATATACGCATACAAGTCCTTTGGTTGATCTCTTCCCCCCCCCCCCCCCCCCGCCTTCCCCCTGAGATTCTACAATCTGTTCCCTGCTTCCATGTCTCTAGATCTACTTTTTGTTCATCAATTTACCTTGTTCGTTAGATTCCACATATGAGTGAGATCATGCGACACTTGTCTTTCTCTGACTGGCCCATATCGCTTAGCATAATATTCTACACTGGTATTTTTAAAGCATGTCACTTAATAGATACTAACATATTACTGTTTTTCCTAACCTTGTGCGCTGCCAATTCCTTACTGCTTGCTAAGGGGCTGGGTGACCCCTAGTGGACACATTCTTTTCAGCGTCTGGAATCGAACCCTCTTTTCCCCAAAGCTGTCCGGGTTGCATTTTTGCCGGGAAGACATCAAGCTGGAGGGAATCTTTGGTGGGCATCAGCGGGCTCCTAACGGTTTGAGGCGAGCTGCTTTCCCGGCGCAGGAGCTGCGGGGAGAGCCGGCCCTGCACACAGGGCGCCAGGCTGAGCGGTGCGCGCTCCCAGCCAGCTGTCCGCGGGAGCAGGGAACGGACCGAGGGGCGGACCGCCACCGGGAGGGGAGGAGGCAGAGAGGAGGAGGGGAGAGGAGGGACCGGCGAGGGGAGGGGCCAGGGAGGAGCCGGAGGAGACGATGGGCGTCCCCTGGGTGGCCCAGCTTCCGGGCAGTGGCCGGGGACCATGGCGAGCCTGGACGACGGCCTGGCGGTGCCCGTGTGGCTGGCGGAGGACGACCTGGGCTGCATCATCTGCCAGGGGCTGCTGGCCTGGCCCGTCACGCTGCCCTGCGGCCACAGCTTCTGCCGGGCCTGCCTGCAGGGCCTGTGGGGCGGGCGCCGCCGCTGGTCCTGCCCCACCTGCCGCGAGGGCGCGGCGCAGCCGCTGCGGCTGCGGAAGAACACGCTCCTGCAGGACCTGGCGGACAAGTACAGCCGCGCGGCCGGCCAGCTGCAGGCCCCCGCGGCCGGGCCCGCGCCCCCCGCCCCCCGGCCCGCCCCCCGGCCGGCCCCCGGGCCCCCGCGCCCCGCCGCCGCCGCACAACCCCGGGTAGGGTGGCGGGACCCTGGCTTCCCACTGGTCCCCTTTCCGGGGCGCTTCCTCCCTCATCCTTTCTACTTTCACTTTGCTTTTCTCCATAGAAAAGAAGAACCCGCTCTTTGGAAAGCTTTAGGAAAATGGGAAGAAGCAGGGGGGAAAACCAAATTCCAATCTGAAACCCTTTCGACCTGGCTGCTATGCTTTTTGGCCTAGAGTTCCCTTTCTTTCCAGTCTTCCCACATTCTGTCTCTCTGAAAATGCTTTTTGTCTATGCAGAACTTGCCAGATTAACCCTTTTTAAGCGTATAATTCAGGTGCTTTAGTTAACTTTTGCAATGTTATGCAGCCATCACCACTTCTATTTCCAGAACTTTTGCATCACCACAAGCAGAAGCTCTGCCCACCAAGCATTAACTTCTCATTCGCTCCGCGCTCCAGCCTCTGGTACCCTCTACCCTGCTTACTGTCTCCGTGATTTTGCCTGCTCTAGATAGTTCACATAAGTGGAATTCTGCGGTATCTGTGTCTGTGTGTCTAGCTTCCTTCACTTACAATCATGTTTTCAAGGTTCGTTCATGTTGTACCATGGGCCCAGACTTCATACCTCTTATTCTTCTCTTGTATGCATATGCCACATTAAATTAATTAATTAATTAAAATATATTTTATTGATTTTTTTTTTTACAGAGAGGAAGGGAGAGAGATAGAGAGCTAGAAACGTCGATGAGAGAGAAACATTGACCAGCTGCCTCTTGCACACCCCCTACCGGGGATGTGCCCGCAACCAACGTACATGCCCTTGACTGGAATTGAACCTGGGACTTCTCAGTCCGCAGACTGATGCTCTACTGCTGAGCCAAACCGGTTTCGGCCATATGCCACATTTTAAAAAATTCATTCATGCATCTATGAGCATCTGGATTTTTCATCTTTTGGCTATTGTAAGCGATGTTGTAGTGAATGCTGGTGTGTAAGTGTCTATTTTCAAAGTAGGAGGGGTCCAGTTCCCCCAGCGTTTGTTTCTGGCACTTAGGTATTTCAACCCTAATCTTTTGCCCCAGATGTTTGCAAGTTGTAGTTCAGCTTGCAGCATCTGTGAGCCATGCCCACCACCTTTTTGGCCTGAGCTCCGAGTCAGGTGAAACAAAGATGAGGGCCCTATGCCGTTCCTTGGGGCAGCCGGCAGCCCGGTTAGAACAGACATACATGACAGTTTGTGAATGAGGCGTGTGCTGCTTTTCCAGAACAGGACCAGGGCCCTGTGCTAGGAATCTTGAATATGGTTACCGAGCCAGTGGGGAGAGGGGCAAGGACAAGAACTAGTAAAAACACCACAATGCTTTTCGACTGCCAGGCTGCTCTTTAGATTTTTTAAAAATTGATTTCAGAGAAGAAGAGAGAGATAGAAACATCAATGATGGGAGAGAATCCTGGATTGGCTGCCTCCTGCATGTCCCCCAGTGGGGATAGAGCCAGCAACCCAGCAATCAGACCAGGACTTCCTGGGTTCATAGGTCAATGCTCAACCACTGAGCTAAGCCCGGTTGCTCTTCTTAGAAACAGGTTTTCCGGAGTTCTGACAGCGTGGAGCAGCTGCCCAGGCCACCCTTTTGTTTTTCTCTGAAGTGCTTTTAAACAGAGCTGAGGTCTTGTTGTATGACCCAGGTTATGTCTTTTTTTTTTTTTTTAAATGAATTAATAGACATTATTTTTTAGAGCAATTCTAGATTTACAGAAAATTGAGCAGATAGTACAGGAAGTTCCCCTCAGTTTCTGCAATTATTAACAATTTGCATTAATGTGGTACATTTGTCACAATTGATGAACCAATATTGATACTTTGTTAATTACTAAAGTCCACAGTTTGCATTAGGGTCCGCTCTTCTGGTTGTACAGTTCATTGGCTTTTGATAAATGTCTGAAGTCATGAATCTACAGTTATGGTTACCATGCAGTGGTACTGCCCGAAACATCCCCTGTGCTCCTCCTGTTTTATCCCCGAGCCAATCTCGGGCAGCTGCTGACCTTCTTACCATCTCTTTGCCTTTTTCAGAATGTCAGATAGTTGGAATCATACAGTATCTAGCCTTTTCAGTATCATACAGTATCTGGCTTTTTTCACAAAGCAAAATTAAGGTTTGTGGCTTGATAGCTCATTTTTTTTATTGCTCAATAATATTTCATTGCATGGATGTACCACAATGAAATATGGTACATTTTTGCCACTTTCTTGCCATATATATATATATATATATTAATATGTATATATATATATATATATATATATATATTTTTTTTTTTTTACAGAGAGGAAGGGAGAGGGTTAGAGAGCCAGAAACATCGATGAGAGAGGAACATTAATCAGCTGCCTCCTGCACACTCCCCACTGGGTATGTGTCCGCAACCAAAGTACATGCCCTTGACCAGAATCGAACCTGGGACCCCTGAGTCCGCAGGCTGATGCTCTATCTACTGAGCCAAACCGGTTAGGGCCCATTCACCTTTTGATGGACATATAGGTTGCTTCCATTTTCCCCCCATTTATGAATAAAGTCTGTTTTCTATTTTTAGATTATAAATACAGCATTATCCCACAGCTTCTTAAAACTCATTGTTAATATAGTTTATAGTGATTGAATATCCATTCCATTGGCTTTTAAATTAAAATGATTGTCTTTGGATGGTAGGATATTAGATGATTGAAAACATTTCTTCTTTTTCATTCTGTGCGTTTTTAAAATCGGCCACAATAAGTGTGTATTTCTCTTATGGATAGAAAAAGCAATGCACTTATTTCTTTTAAAGTCTTTAATTTGCTCAGGTGCCTGGATAAGGTCTCCCCTACAGAGTTCCTGCTGCTTGAATATTTGGGAATGGGGCCTGGACCTTTAAGAGCAAACAGTGTTAGCAGGGCCAGTCACCTCCCTCTCTAAAGTAGCCTGCTTATAACAGCCAAAACATGCTACTTTGAGGGACCTCAGGGCTATTTAAGAGATGAAAAAGGCCCTGGATCAATCCCAGCTTTTGAGGCTCCCGAAAAATTTAAAATATGACAAATGTCAAAACAAAGTTATAAAAAACTCTGGCTGATGGACAGTTGAGTGATGAATGCCTTGTTTCTGTGACTCCATTGGAGGCGATGCGGAGTTCTCCATTGTGGTCTGGTGACTGGCCTCGGGTCCTGAGGGTGTTGCTAAAATATGTTGGCTGCAAAGCTTACTCCCACGCCCAGCCAGGCAGCTGAGCACGTTAAGCTCTTTAAGTGGCGTTGTTTAGCACTCTTCCCAATATTAAAAAAAAAAAAAAAAAAAAAAAAAAATATATATATATATATATATATATATATATATATATATATATATATATATTGCTTTCAGAGAGGAAGGGAGAGGGAGAGGGAAATAAAAACATCAGTGAGGAGAGAGAGTCATTGATCGGCTGCCTTCGTCACGCCCCACACTGAGGACCCAGCCGGCAACCTGGGTATGTGTCTTGACCGGGAATCAAACCGTGACCTCCCGGTTCATAGGCCAACACTCAATCACTGAGCCGCGCTGGCCGGGCTGAATGTTTTTTTGTGATGTTAAAGATGCCAACCAGCCAACAAAAAAGCTTTCATCTGTACATCACCAAGTCTCCAAGGCGCTTGCTTTCACAGTGAACAGCTAGGTAGGTCTTTTTTCCGGTGGAAGAGAAGGAGGGGTGCCACTTTCATTTCTGAAAAGCCTGGGCCAGACATACTAGGATGAATCAGAGGCAAGAGAGGAGCTTAAGCCCGAGGCACTTGCCTTCCCCTGCGCCACTCACTTTATCAGCTGCCACCGACTCTGCCAGGCTCACACCCATGTCTTCTCTGACTTTCTCGGCTCATAATGACCCCTGGGCCTCCCTTCACACTTTACTCCCGTGCCCCCTCCCCCTCCATCCCACGGATGGACTCCGCTCTCCTATAATGGCCACGGGACGGTCAGTAAGGGAAAAGGACATGCAAAAGGTGTGGGAGGCTCCCTTCATGTCCTCTGAATGTTTTCACCACTTCCTTGCCTGTCCCTTTGTCCAGGCTTCACACAGTATTTAGAGCTGATTCCTGGGTCCAGCTTTGGGTTCTGCTTTGCTCTTTTTTTATTTTTATTTTTATTTTTTATAATTCATCTTTATTGTTCAGATTATTACAGGTGTTCTTCTCCCCCCTCCCCCACTAGCTCCCCTCCACCTGATTCCCAACCCCACCCCATGCCCTTACCCCAGCCACTGTCTTCATCCATAGGTGTAAGATTTTTGTCCAATCTCTTCCCGCACCCTTCAGACACCTTGTCCCCTGAGAATTGTTAGTCCAGTCCCTTTCTTTTTTTTTTTTCTTTTTTTTTTTTTAAATATATTTTATTTGATTTTGTACAGAGAGGAAGGGAGAGAGATAGAGAGTTAGAAACATCGATGAGAGAGAGTCATCGACCAGCTGCCTCTTGCACACCCCCCACTGGGGATATGCCCGCAACCAAGGTACATGCCCTTGACCGGAATCGAACCCGGGTCCTCCAGTCCCCGAGCCGACGCTCTATCCATTGAGCCAAACCGGTTTCGGCAGTCCAGTCCCTTTCTATGTCCCCGATTCTATTGTATTCACCAGTCCATTTTGTTCTTCAGATTTTTTATTCACTTGATTTTTAGATTCACTTGTTGGTAGGTATGTATTTTATGTCTTTTTGTTGTTCTGCTTTGCTCTTTTAAAGGCGGTGGCACCGCAGAGCATCCCAGAAGCTGGTCGGGAGCTGGCAGAGCTGGTGGAGCGGCTTGTAGACATCGTCAGGAGCCTTCAGAAGCAGAGGCACCTCCCAGAATCTGGGCCGCAGAACAAGCTGAACATCCTGGGCATGGTAGGTAGGCTCCGTGCGGGGAGGAAAGGGTGTGGCAGGGGCAGGGGCAGCTCCCAAGTGGGGCAGCGTGAATGTATTTTCAGTTGAAGGATGCAGGAAGTTTCTGCCAAACAGGGAGGCCTGGAGGTGTGATAGGGAAGCTTCAAGAGGCCTAGGTTTCATTCTTTTCACTCCACCTAACCAGCTCTAAGATCACCAGTGGCCTCTATGTAAATCCTGCAGACATTTAATCCTCATCTTTAAAAAACAAACAAACACACACACACACACACACACACACACACACACACATATATATATATGAAATTGATTTTTCTTACAGAGGAAAGGAGAGGGATAGAGAGTTAGAAACATTGATCAGCTGCCTCCTGCACACTCCCCACTGGGGATGTGCCCGCAACCAAGGTACATGCCCTTGACCGGAATTGAACCTGAGACCCTTGAGTCTGCAGGCTGACGCTCTATCCACTGAGCCAAACCGGTTAGGGCTAAATAACTATATTTTTATTGTTTTCAGAGAGAAAGGGAGAGGGAGAGAGAGATAGAAACATCAGTGATGAGAAAGAATCATTGATTGGCTGCCTCCTGCATGCCCCACTCTGAGGATTGCTCCTGCAACACCAGCATGTGCCTTGACTGGGAATCGAACTGTGATCTCCCGGTACCTAGATCGATGTTCACACACTGAGCCACGCCATTCAGTAGCCTTTGGCACAGGTGATCACACCTTGGTCCTTGAAGCTTTCCTTTCCCTTAGCTTCTGCCCACGAGCCTTCCCGTTTCTCTCTGGCTGCTCCTTTCAAACCTGTTTTTCAGGCTCACTCTCCCCAGCTTAGCAATAAAATGTTGAGATTCCGCAGGGCTCATCTGTGGGTCCCTTTCTCTTCCCCACATCCATGGCTTTAATGAGCATAAACATAGCTCCGGCCCGGCCACTTCTCTGAGCGCTAGGCCGGTATCTTTTTCTCATTGTCTCCTCTTAACATGCCCCACACTGTTCCTCAGAGGGGACTCCCCAGCTGACTGGCACTGTTATTCTTCCAAGGGCACAAGCCAGACACCTGAGAATCATGTCACCTCCTTCCTCATCTGCTAAAATATCTCTCAAATCTGCTTACTACTCTTTTCTTTTTTAGTTTTTCAAATATATTTTTATGTATTTCAGAGAGGAAAGGAGAGGGAGAGACAGAAACATCAACGATGAGAGGGAGTCATTGATCGACTGCTTCCTGCACACCCTACTCTGGGGATTGAGCCCACAACCTGGGCATATGCCCTCATCAGGAATTGAACTGTGATCTCCTGGTTCATAGATCAATGCTCAACCACTGAGTCACGCCGGCTGGGCTCTATTTATTACTCCTGAGCTCCTAAGAGACTTCTCTAATCTAAGCTTGTGATCACATCTTGCCCGGATTGCTACAGTAGCCTCCTAATTGCTCCATTCTACCTGCTCTAGTCTGCTGTCCTGGGGGTCATCAGAGTGACCCTCTCAAATGCAAATCTGATTGAGTAACTCAAACAAACACTTAAAACACTCCAATTGTGACTGTTGTGCAGGATTCATCCTCACAGAAACAACAAGAGCCTGCAGGATTCTGTCCCTGCCTGCCTCTCCCATCTCATTTCACCCCGCTCTTCCCTGGCGCTTCAGGTCCCAGCCGCTGGCCCACATCTGTCCCTCTAGGGCTGTGGTTGGCAAACTGCGGCTCCGCCAGCCACATGTGGCTCTTTGGCCCCTTGAGTGTGGCTCTTCCACAAAATACCACGGCCTGGGTGAGTCTATTTTGAAGAAGTGGCATTAGCAGAAATTGAAGTTTAAAAAATTCGGCTCTCCAAAGAAGTTTCAATCGTTGTACTGTTGATATTGGGCTCTGTTGATTAATGAGTTTGCCGACCACTGAACTAGGGTGTTGTCACACTTTTCTCCACCACAGAGTGCACTCCATGGAATGTTCGTTTGCCCTGCCACCAAGGTAATGCCTGCTCATCCTTCAGACCCCAAGGAGATCATCACTTTCTTGGAAAATCCTTCCCTGCTTTCCTTGAACAGGTCTCCCCTTCCCCCATTAGAGGCTCTCTCTCATGATCCCACGTACATCCATTAGCACAGCCACAATTTATTTATGTCTGTCCTCCCTCTCTCTGGCACTGGACGCTAAGCGTCATGAGGGTGGAGACCTTCAAGTGCTAGACACTTCCCACTGAATGAGTGATTACGTGGGACTTTAGGGATGTAACATTAGTATTATGAGCTTGGGCTTGTTATTTCATCTTTCTGAATCTCAGGTTTCTATCTGTAAAATAGGAATAATGAGGCTGGCAGCCTCATTATTTGGATGGGATTAAAAGGGATCATGTAAAAAAAAAAAGTGCTTTAGCAATGAGAAAATGTAGGGCAAGGCAATGAACTATGGCAAATTTTAGCTCCTTCTTTTGCAAAGTGGGGATAATAAACCTACCTTGGAAGGTTGTTATGCAAATTAGAGATGAACAAGTGGAAGGCACTCAGTAAGTGGTGCCTGCTACTGTTATGATTGGTGAAAAAAGTGGGCGATGGCTTATGCAAGGCGGGGAAGGAAAGTCTGGTGCTGTAGGTGCGAAGTAGGGGGTGGGAGACTGTGTTGGGGACTCATAGGACCTGAAGTTAAAGAAAATTCGTGAGCATGGGTTGCAGGCCCCAGAGAGCTGGGCCTGGATGAGAAGATATATGATATGATAGCAGTCTGGGGGAGATTATTCTAGCCTGTGTGGCATATCTCAGTGACTGTCTGCATTATTTATTTTGTAAATCATATGGGCTTAACAACTTTTGGCTTGTTTTAGTATTACTTAAGAAATTGATATTTAACCGAAACTGGCTTGGCTCAGTGGATAGAGTGTCGGCCTGCGGACTGAAAGGCCCCAGGTTCGATTCCAGTCAAGGGCATGTGCCTTGGTTGTAGGCACATCCCCAGTAGGGGATGTGCAAGAGGCAGCTGATCAATGATTCTCATGGATGTTTCTAATTCTCTATTCCCTCTCTCTTCCTCTCTATAAAAAAATCAATAAAAATAGCCGAAGCCGGTAGAGCGTTGGTCTGCGGACTGAAAAGTCCCAGGTTCGATTCCGGTCAAGGGCATGTACATTGGTTGCGGGCACATCCCCGGTAGGGGGTGTGCAAGAGGCAGCTGGCTGATGTGTCTCTCTCATCGACGTTTTTAGCTCTCTATATCTCTCCCTTCCTCTCTGTTAAAAATCAATAAAATATATTTAAAAAAATCAATAAAATATATTAAAAAAGAGATTATTATTTATTGTACAAAAAGACTAGAAAACACATAGCAGTTTAAAGAAAATAAGTGAGAATCATCCATCACCCCACCACTCTTTAATATTTTTTGCTGTTTTATGTATTACTCCAGATTATTTTCAAGGTGTGTATTTTGAGGGCCTAATTATATTTTAAAAAACTCCTTAGGAGGTAAGTGGAAAATTATAGACGGGTTGCAAAACTGGAGTATACTATTTGATGCATTCCTGGGAGACTTTCTTTTCTTTTTTATTCATGCTTCATCAACAGGCTTTTTCTGGTGGGGTGGACCATTCCTTGACGTCTCCAAAGCTAGCAACTTCCAACAGAGCTGAGGAAAAAATGAGAGACATTCTGCATGACCTCGAAGACATCCGGGGGAAATTGCAAGAAAGCTTCACATTGCAAGAAAGCTTCCCGGGGAAAGAGTTGCGTGAAGAACAGAGGCAGGGTGAGTTGATTCTCCTTGGGGAGGAGGATTAACTACGGAAATTGGGAGGAAGTGGCAGAGTGCTCCAGGGCTTTGTTGTCTGGGGATATGACCCCAGGGCCCCACTGCATTGTCACTGTGGTGTATGTGAGGAGAGAACGGGCTGAGGCATTTTGTGACTGGCTGTGTTTTTGGAAGCGACTGGAGTTGTAATGTAACACAGGCCTTGATGAGAAGAAACTCATTTTCTAAGGCTTGCACATCAAACTGGACCAGGTTTTGCTGGTTCGGTTCCCGATCAAGGCACAGGCTGAGGTGGCAGGTTCATTTCCATAAATCCACCATCTTAACTGCTTTCAAGCATACAGTTCAGTAGTGTTAAGTACATTGACTTTGTTGTTCAAAAAGCCCCAGATCTTCTTAATTTTGCAACAATGAAACTCTATATTGTTTAAAAGTAACTCCCCACCCCACATTCCACTAGGTACCAGATATAAGTGGAATCACACAGCTAATGTTTTTTGTGACTGGCTTGTTTCACTTAGTATAATGTTTCCAAGGGTCATCTATGTTGTAGCATGTGTCAGGATTTTCTTCCTTCTTAAGGCTGAATAATATTCGATTATATGAATATAGCACATTTTATTGACCCATTTAACCAACAATGGACACTGGTTGCTCCCACTTCTTGGCTATTGTGAATAATACAGCTCTGAATAAGGGTGTGTAAATATCTCTTCAAGATCCTGCTTTCAGTTCTTTTGACTATGTGCCCAGAAGTGGAATTGCTGGATCATACGGTAATTCTGTTGTAAATTTTTGAGGAATTAAGTATATATCTTATAGTATTCTTTAAAAATTCAACTTATAACATTTAAGTATGCCTTAGCAAGTATGATATAGTTATTTCTTTGTGATTATGTTGTTTTTTGATTATTTGGACCAGTCCAGAACATTTTTAAAGCAAAGGATCTGATATATCTCCATATCCTAAAACATCATTTCCTGAAGTAATCACAGGATTAAAACTGGGAGGAAATTGGGAGGAAGCGGCAGAGTGCTCCAGGGCTTTGAAATTTATTTCAAAGGAGAAAGGGAGGCGGGGGGGGGGGGGGGGGGGGAAGAGAGAGAGAGAGAGAGAGAGAGAGAGAAACATTGATGATGAGAATCAGATCAGCTGCTTCCTGCATGTCCCTTACTGGGGACCAAGCCCAAAACTCAGGCATGTGCCCTCGATCAGGAATTGAACCTGGGACCCTTGAGTCCATAAGCTGATGCTCTATCCACTGAGCCAAAACAGCCAGGATTGTTTTAAAGACAATAGGTAGTGTTGTTCAAGTCAATGCTTTAACAGTTGTCAAGCAATTTGACTGGCTCCTCACAATGATTCCCTTTGGCCCTCTGTCAGTATTCCACGTGCTGCCATGGACATCGCATTTTATGCAGAACAATTTTCCTTAAACAGAATAGTGCCATATTATTATTTTATATTCCCAAGGGATCCTGGCTACATTTAGAGAAAGAAAAAGGCTGGCCCTAGCCAGCTTGGATCAGTGAATAGAGTGTCAGCCTGCAGATCGAAGGGCCCCATATTTGATTTTGGTCAAGGGCATATACCTTGGTGGCAGGCTTGATCCTTGGCCCTGGTAGGGGTATGTGCTGGAGGCAACCAGTCAATGTTTCTCTCTCTCTCTCTCTGTCTCTCCCCCTCCCTTCACTCTCTCTAATAATCAATGGAAAAAATATACTCGGGTGGGATACAAATGGGGGAAGATTTTGCCTTCATAGTCTGCACTGTGACATTACTTTCTCTTCTTCTACCTATTCTGTGGGCATTGGAAGCACACAGTAGCTTTAAGTTAACAATTAAACTTTAGTTCATCGAGAGGGAGGTAGGAAGTGTCAGTGAGTTGAAATGAATCTCACACCAACTCACATTTCCCAGTTTTTGTAACAGTTTAAAGCATTGAGCCCGGCCAGTGTGGCTCAGTGGTTGAGCATCAGACTATAAACCAGGAGGTCATGATTTGATTCCCGGTCAGGGCACATGCCCAGGTTGCAAGCTTGATCCCCAGTGTAGGGCATGCAGGCGGCAGCCAATCAGTGATTCTCTCTCATCACTGATGTTTCTGTCTCTCCCTCTCTGTTCCTCTCTGAAATCAATAAAAATATAAAAAAGATAAGATAAAAATAAAGCATTGATAATGGGGTTTGTGGATATTGTGGATGTCAGGGCACTGTTATTGCCTGGAACTGTATTCGTTAATTTACTTGCTAAATATGCATCGAGCACTTCCTATCTACCTGACATGAGGTTTGGTTCTTAGAACAAGGAGCAAGCAACGAGTGTAGAGTTCAGGGAGGAAATGGCAGGAAAAGGCCTAGTGAGAACCTGGGGCTGGACGAACCTGAGCTGGCTGCACTGCCTGGCCAAACCCTGGCGCTAAATGTGCTGCTGCTGCTGCTGCCGAGGAAGATAGGCCATCGCTCTGATCATGTTGCTTAGATACCTTCTTCTTGCCCTTTTAAAATGAGACGTTTCCCCCTCCCAATTTTCTTGATTCCTTAGTTAAACCCCCGGAAGATCTGTCTTCCTCCGCATGCCCACGGACTGACCAGAGCCTCCTTGCATCCAGGTTTGTTCAATGTAAGTATGTGGTCTGCTTGGAACTTGCTTTCGGCCGGCTGCAGAGGGGAGCTGGGAGAGGATGCTGTGTCCATCTCCCTGCTGCTAGGCCTCCCACCCCCCACGACCCCTTCCCCTGAGGAGCTGATTCCAAAGACAAAGGGAATGAAAAGCTCCCAAATTCCAGGCTAAACCAGACCCATGATCATTCAGAGCCCAGGCAATCTGTGGGCATCCATGCGGGGGCCACCATAGGCAGCCAACTACCCATTCCCCCATCCGATGAGTTACTGCTGCTGTCCCAGGCTGGCGTAGTCATGGAGAGCATGGATCCTGGACCCAGGCTGCTTGGGTTTGACGCCTAGCTCCTGCTCACTAGCTCTGTGATCTTGGACAAGTTAGGTAACCTCCCCGAACCCCGGATCCCTCACCTGTAAGATGGAGAGAATAATAGTCCTTTCTTCCAGGGATTGTCCTAAGGGTTAGATGAGTGAATGTGTTTAAATGTGTGCCTAGAGTAGAAATGCTATGTACATGTTCACATCTGTTTTCTCAGTAGGACACAGTGTAAAATATACAACATGAATACATGATCCTTTAAAAAAAAAAAAAAAAATATATATATATATATATATATATATATATTTTATTTTTTACAGAGAGGAAGAGAGAAGGATAGAGAGTTAGAAACATCAATGAGAGAGAATCATCGATCAGCTGCCTCTTGCACACCCCCTACTGGGGATGTGCCCGTAACCAAGGTACATGCCCTTGAATGGAATTGAACCTTGGACCTTTCAGTCCGCACAGACCGATGCTCTACCACTGAGCCAAACCGGTTTCGGCAAGTACATGATCCTAAATAAGGAAACTTATGTATAACTAGAGAGAGATGGACAGCCGTGGTCATGTCACGTGCTGCAGATAGAAGATGGTACATTAGAGAACAGCTAAAACATGGCGGCTTTGGGGCAAAGCAAGAGGTGTCTTTTGGCTGGGTGGGATTCAGGGAGGGCTTCCCTGAAGAAGGTTCATGGTAAGCAGAGGTTAAGCAGGGAAAGGGGTATTGTTAGCAAGCATCAGGGGTTAGTACTACCCTGTTTCCCCGAAAATAAGACAGTGTCTTATATTAATTTTTTTCTCCCAAAGTTGTGCTAGGTTTTATTTTCAGGGAATGTCTTATCTTTCCATGCGCTAGGTCTTATTTTTGGAGGATGTCTTATTTTCGGGGAAACACGGTAGTACAGAGAGCAGCAAGTGTCTGACACACCTACATTAATGCCAGTCTGAGTAAGACTTTATCACACCCAAAGATACAAAGCTGCTGTTTGCTCTTTGGGGACCTCTGAGCATGGGCAGTCCGTGCTGGCTGGTTATGTTCTTTTTTTTTCTTCTTCTTCTTCTTCTTCTTCAGGGGCTATCAGTCCAACCTTTGACCTGGGGACCCTGTCCTGTAGCCTGGAGGTGTCGGAGGATCGCAGGAAGGTGACTGTATGTCACATCCCACAGCTTTATGCCTGGAGTCACGACAGGTTTACGACCTGCCAGGTCTTATGCTCCCAAGCCTTCTCGTCTGGGCAGCACTACTGGGAAGTGGACACTCAGCAGTGCAGCCACTGGGCAGTTGGCGTGGCTTCCTGGGGGATGAGCCGAGACCAGATCCTGGGGAGGACCAGGGACTCCTGGTGCGTGGAGTGGAAGGGGACCAGCCAGCTCTCCATGTGGCACATGGTCAAGGAAACTGTCCTCGGCGCAGAAAAACCGAGGGTGGTGGGCATCTGGCTGGACCTGGAGCGGGGGAAGCTTGCCTTCTACTCAGTGGCTAATCAGGAGACACTCCTGGGCGAGTGCCCAGTCTCCGCCTCCTCGACCCTGCACCCTGCCTTCTGGCTCTATGGTTTACATCCCGGAAACTCGCTGACCATCAGGCCAGTAAAGGCATAAAGGTTAAAATACGTTGGTTTCCTGTCCTCTTTCTCTGCCTTCGAGAATCCCACTCCCGAAGTTAAGGGGTGTGCGGTGAAGGCTTAACTCTGCAGAGTCCAGAGAAAGAAAGAAAGGGCCCTTGGATTGGATTGGCACCTGGAACGTAATCTCTAATCCTTTGGAATACCCTGCCTGGTAAGAGCGTTCACCTGGGGGCCTTGGGCCGGGAGGTATCGTCAGCTTGACCTCGGAAGAGGCTGGAGACTAAGGTCAGCCACCTGGTCGGTGAGGCCTGTCTACCTGACTGACCTCCACGGAAAGCCCCGGGTACCAATAGTCCTTGCACATTGTCACACATCATTGCTGGGAGAATTAAGAATTGTCCATCGGACTCCACTGGGAGGGATAATTGGTGTCTCCTGGCTGCTGCCCTGTGTGCCTTCTTTTTACTGCTGATTTTAATATGTATATTTTCACTGTCATAAACGGTAACCATGAGTATAACAGCTCTGCTGTTGTTGATAAGCACTCAGTACCTCAGCTGCTAAGGGGCCCCGCTGAGCGCTTACTGATAACAAGTGGAGAAGTAACGAGGGGAAGAGGACACACTTAGACTAAAAGCACTGGTACTCGGCTCATCGGTGCTGTCATGGCGGGCTTGCTGAAGAAGGCCACCGGATTTCTGGGATGTGAGAGTCCACATGAGAGGCTAAGAATATTGTACACAAAGATTCTTGATGTTCTTGAACAAGTCTAAAAGTGCAGCAAATAGGAAGTAGAGATTACAAATGAGAAGCTGGATATGGTTAAAGCAAAACCAGATGTTAGAAAATTAGAAGACTGACTTAAAGGTGGCCAAATAGAAGAAGTGATTCTTCAGCTGAAAATGAGCTAAGTCTGGTGAGAACAATGGTTCGATGGAAACAATGGGAGCCTTTGGTGCAAGCATGTCAAACTCGCGGCCTACAGGCTGCATTCGGCCCACAATGAATATTTTTGCAGCCTAGCCAATATAATGGTATGTAAAAAACGTTGTTTTAAAAAAATGTATATTTTATTGCCGGGACCAGTTTGGCTCAATGGATAGAGCGTCGGCTTGGGGACTGAAGGGTCCTGGGTTCGATTCCGGTCAAGGGCATGTACCTTGGTTGCGGGCATGTCCCCGGTGGGGGGTGTGCAAGAGGCAGCTGATTGATGACTCTCTCTCATCGATGTTTCTGACTCCCTATCTCTCTCCCTTCCTCTCTGTATAAAATCAATAAAATATATTTAAAAAAAATAAAAAAAATATATATTTTATTGATTTTTTGCAGAGGAAGGGAGAGGAATAGAGAATTAGAAACATCGATGAGAGAGAAACATCCATCAGCTGCCTCCGAGACACCCCCCACTGGGGATGTGCCTGCAACCAAGGTACATGCCCTTGACCAGAATTGAACCTGGGACCTTTCAGTCCACAGGCTGACGCTCTATCCACTGAGCCAAACTAATTTCGGCTGTAAAAAAACGTTTTGATAAAAATTTTATAGCTTAATTTTGACAATATCCTGTTATACATAATTATTAATAACGAACCACAATGTTCGCTAGTGACTGATGACTACGCTATAATCATATTGTATTCATTTCTCTATGTGCCTTACGCGCAGGTGCACCATTTCTCTCCACTAATACCAGTGGCAAATATTTTAGCAGCTGATTGCCACGTCATTAGTTTAGGACTGACTTGTTTGGTGTGTGCAGCAGGAAATATTTTGCTTTCAGAGAACAAGAAAAACAGGTTTATTTGCGTTACGCTTATTAATTTATGCAATTATTCAGTGTCTGGTAAGTTAATGTTCAAGAAAAAATATTAATATTTATTTAAATGTGCTCTTATTTTATGTTAATGATTATTCATTTATTTCAGGCCTTTGTATTCAGCATGTCACTATTGAAATAAACCTACGTTTCTATGAAAATGTTTTTGTTTTTTTGAGGCCCACATAAGCTTAAACCTTGTTTATTTGGCCCGTGTTAGCCTTTGAGTTTGACATGCTTGATTGAGAAGGCAGAAAATATAAATATTTATGGTTTTGGGAGAAGTAGTTTTGAAACAGAATATTGTTAGTGCGAGTTAGTTGTTACTAACTGTGGAGAGCGGCTACAGCGTTTGGACAGGTTCAAGCCTGGGACTAATGAGAGGGCACCATCCTTTCATGGCAAAGTCACTTGCAAGCCCCAGCACAATTATAACAAAAAGCTATGGTTATAAGCTTGACCTTATGATCCAAACGTGGTCCCATGTGACTGAATGATATGGGCTGCGGGAGGTGCAGCAAGTAAACAAAGCTTGATCAGGTGCATGTGATTGAGTCGATTGGAAACCCAGGAGAACGTTGTAAACATCTTGACCACGCCCTTACTTTGCTTTGTGGAATCTCGGCTATAAAATAAAGACTCGGCTTGCAGGTCGGGAACTGTCTCTCCTTCAGAGAGAGCAGCGTCCCACCTAACACCCAGGTTTCTTCTCTTGTCTGTCTTTTCTAAATTCTTCACCGCCCCCTCTCAGGTTCACCCATGGCCGTGCCGGCTTGGTCCAACTAACTATATTTCATAAGAAACAAAAAAGTGATGACAGATAAAAACTGGCTCCTTTGCAAGCATAGAAACTTGAAGTGAACATAGAAAGTCTAGAAATTCTGGGATTTACTGTGTTGAAGGGAATAATCATCTCTCATTTTCAACCTCTATGGGCTGTAAAATATCCTCAAAATAGGGCATAGCTTTAGGGGCAAAGCTCAAAACTAAAGGCATGGCTATGAGCACTCAGCCTTAATGTCAAGACCAAATCAAGGTCAAGACCAAATCAAGACCATTACTCCCCTTGGTACGATCTCTGAGGAATGAAGACAGTTCCAGGGAATTCTGTTCGTTGGACAAAATGACTCTTGGAAAGGAAACTGCATGCCATTAAGCCCAGCAGTGCCAAACTACTTGAAATTATATGGAGAGAGAGAGAGAGCGCGAGCGAGCAGAGGGCATGTCTCAAAGCGAACTGTGAGCTCAGCTACTGACACTTGGTATTGTCCAGAGTGCTCCAGACACCGAAGAAAAATGGCAAAAAATGGGAACAGATGTTTTGGAGAAGAAGACGCCCTATGGCTGGTAGGCCAGTGAAGAAATGTTTAGCCTCATTACAGGTCAGGGAAACCCAAATCCAGACGAGGAAGATATTGTAATTCAAAATAAATCGTTTAGAAAATAAAGGAAACTCGGACAATACCAAGTGTTGGAGGGACTGTGGATTGACAGGGTCTTGTAGGCATTGCTGGTTTTTATGTAGCTACTTTGGAAAATGAATGGGACTCTCTTATAACAGTGAATATCTCAAACCAGCAATTTCACAGGTGTATATATGCCTAAGAGAAGTCTTGCTTATACAAAAATGGTCATAGCTGTTTTATGATGACAGAAATCTGGAGAAAACTCAAATGCCCACTAAGAGAGAGTGGATGAATAGATTAGTAGTGTCCTTAACCGATGGAACAGTTAAAACAATGTATTTCAGTGACACCCAGTGATATGGATGTATATTAACAAAATACTATTGGGCAAAACAGTAAGTCCCTACAGTTATAAACAGCATGATGTCCTTTTAATAAAGTAAAAAGATATAAATGATAAGATATAAATTATAGTGATACAGAAATTCAGGGTGTTGGTTACATTGGGTTGGAGGAGTCGGGGAGAATGGTGTAGAGCAGTGGTCGGCAAACTCATGAGTCAACAGAGCCAAATATCAACAGTACAACAATTGAAATTTCTTTTAAGAGCCAAATTTTTTAAACTTAGACTTCTTCTAAGGCCATTTCTTCAAAATAGACTCTCCCAGGCTGTGGTATTTTGTGGAAAGAGCCACACTCAAGGGGCCAAAGAGCCGCATGTGGTTCTCGAGCCCCAGTTTGCTGACCACTGGTATAGAGGGAAAATAGAAGTAAGTTATTGTCCAGGCACTAGCGTTTGTTTTGAATGATGGTTCACATGCGTTTATGGCATTGTTAAAAAGAACTGGAGCTTTAAAAAAGAGATAGTTTTGATTGCTTTTTTAATGAAGTCATGGACTATGAGCGTTGTGAATCTGTAGAAGTGGGCTAGTTCTACTCCTTCACGATTCCTTTACTCTTCCCTCACCCAACCCATGTCAGTCCTGTCACAACACACCTGGCTCCGACCCCTTTGCACACACCCGTGCTGGTGGAAGCCACCCTCTCCTCCGCCTGCGCTTCCTCTGTGGCCTCTTCCGTTCTCTGTTGCTCTGTTTTTCAGCTCTCTTTCCAATGCACTTAGATTAAAATTTAAGCTCATCATGCCTGCCAGGCTTCACATGAGATGGTCCCTGACTTCCTCATAGACGTCATGTCCTACAGGCATGCTCACACAGGTTTTATATGCCATGCTCACTGACTTTCCTTCTTTGCATGTAGCAGATGCTGCCAGTACCCAGCTCATGTCCCTTGGCCAGGCCTTCCATCAACTGGCTTCAGCCATGGAAGACGCCCTGCCCATGAACAGTGGGCTGAGGTGCCAGGGAGCGCCCTCACCAAGGACTGGTGGGCTTGGAGTATAAATACCCTGCTTCTATGCTTCTTAGTGGGACATCCTAGGGGTAGGCTCTGCACTGTTTCCCAAGGTGTTACTGGGAAATGCCATTTCAGTCACCTGAAGGGAACTGATTTGATTATCTTTTATTGACATAATAGAGGTTCAGTGTACAAATTTGTGCAACAGTGGGGTCCCGTGGCCTGTCCTGCAGTATCATGCTGAAATCAGCTTTCTGACATCCCCCAAGGGGTCCTGGATTGCGAGAGGGTGAAGGCTAGGTTGAAGGACCCCACCAGTGCACGATTGGGGCCGGGGAGAGACGGGGGAGGTTGGCCAGCCACGGAGGAACTGCGAGAGGGCTCCAGGGCGTGTCCGGCCTATTTTGCTCAGTCCTGATCAGCTGGACCCAGCAGCAAGCTCACCTACATGTCGGA